TCTTTTCTTTTTTATTTTAAAAAATGGTGATTCTTTTTGCTTCTGTGAGAACTTATGAATTGGATGGTAGAAAGATGCCAACAAGCCAATTATATCATTATACCTTATTGTCTATGTTACTTGGGCTCTTCAATTTCCATGAACTATCCGTGTCCGACACTTGGATATGGGGATATGACGTCCAAAAATCCTCCAAATATATAGAAAAATTTAGGAAAATCTAGCCATGCCTGTGTGGATACATACTTGTGTCCGATGCTTACACTTGAGTTTGAGTAACATAGCTTATTGTTATAACGGACAACGTAAGTGTTATTTGAAAATTTCAACTTCATTCTTCATCATTTTCTCTTTCTATTTCTGTATGATTATTTTATTTATTATATATTAAGTTCTTATCCACGTTACAGAAATTAGAAATGTATGTCTCCGTGCCACAGGTACACCTTTCTCATCATTGTGTGGTAATGTGTCTGAGTTGGGGTGGGATGGGAATGGGGATTTAAAGTATCTTGACTGATTAAGTGTAGCATCTGTGTAAATATTGGCTATGACCTGGTCTTCAGTTACGGCGTTGTTTTTCCTGAAGCCAGGTATACGAGATGCTCTTTTTTTGAAATTTACCCAGTGCTAAGACAACTGAATTTAAGCTCATGGATTTGATGGAAGCTTACCAGAGATTGAGCTCTTTTTTTGAAATTTACCCAGTGCTAAGACAACTGAATTTAAGCTCATGGATTTGATGGAAGCTTACCAGAGATTGAGAAAATATACGAGATTGCAACCAAAGGATCAAATGATGAGAAGATATCTGCCGCTAGCATTCTTTGTGGAGCATCTGTAGTTCGTGGGTGGAATATACAGGTAATTTGACAGTAGGTCACTTCACTTCCTACAAGGTGCGTTACTGTCACAGTTTCTGTTCGTCACCATCTTTCTTATGTGCTTCACAAGTTTGGTTATCTTCTTTTTTTCCCATTGAAGTTTCTTCCATTTGTGCTATTTGTGGAGCTTATGTGGGTCTTGCTTGTTGTAGCAACAAGCTGTTATGTTCATTACAAGTTTGTTGTCACCACCAGTTCCTGCCAACTATTCTGGGAGTGATAGCCATTTGATTAGTTACGCCCCATTTTTGAATGTTCTTCTTGTTGGAATATCATCTGTTGATTGTGTCCAGATCTTCTCTTTACATGGCATGGTGCGTTTTACTTTTCATGATTCGTTTTTTCTGCTGGTTTACATGTGAATATTCTTTTGTGTTGTATGAATTGAAGAAAAGTTCATGGAGCTAGTTTTCAAAGAGTTTACTGAAAAGATCCTCTTCTCATATATTGAAAATTAGTTACGTATGGATTTTAATATTTTACATAATGAATATTATATTAATTTTTACAAGACTAAACCAAATTAATGTTATAAACTCTTATAAATTTTAAGAAATTATGATTAAGAATATTATAAATTTAAAAGAAGGGCAATTTAGTTAATATCCCGGGGCAGGAAGATTTGGTCTAAAACAGCCTGACTCAATCTTTTTTTTTTTTGATAAAAAAAAACCCACCTCACCCCTGCACTCTGTTTTCAGAAAAAGAGAGGTCCTTACAGGATCAGGACTGGTTGGAACCAATGGGTTCAGATTGTTTTGCCAACCCTCGACTTTCTGCAATCTGTGCATAACTGAGGGGAATTTTATTTAATTTTGTACCATTAAGAATTAGAAGCTGTTGCTTTCTGAAATTACAGAGACAATTGCATTACTGAATAATAATGCATCCCTGTGGCACATATCCACAATGTATAGTCCTATGAGCTCCACTCACCGACATTATTTGATATCAGGTTCCACTACTTGCTGGTGCATTGATGGCCCTTTGTGAGGTTTTTGGGTCAACCGCTCCGAATGTTTCATGGACTCTTCCAACAGGGGAAGAGCCGACTAGTCATGCGGTTTTCAGCAATGCATTTACTCTTCTACTGAGGTTATGGAAGTTTGATCATCCACCTGTTGAACATGTGATGAGAGAGGACCAGTAGGATCTCAACCAAGTCCAGAGTACCTGTTGTTGGTTCGAAACTCTAAATTATCAGCTTTTGGAAAATCACCGAAGGATCGTTTAAAAATTAAAGGAATTTCAAAAAATTTGAACTTCCCTATGGAACTCATATTTATGGATTCCTTTCCCAAATTAAAATGCCGGTACCGGCAGCATCAAGAATGCATTGCTTCAACCCTCTCAGGACTTGTACAAGGGACCACTGTTCATCAGATTGTTGATGCGCTCCTCAAGATGATGTTCAGGGAGATAGGCAGGGGTTCACAGTCTTTAACTTCTACGACTTCCGGGAGTAGTAGTTCTTCTGCAACTGGAGGTGACGATATCTTGATAAGACTAAAAGTGCCAGCATGGGATATCCTGGAAGGAACTCCGTATGTGCTTGACGCTGCTCTGACAGCCTGTGCCCATGGAAGAATTGCCCCACGTGAACTACCGACAGGTATGTCCTTTCTCCTTGCTTAAAAGTAAGCTATGTTGCTTGGGCATCGACGGAAATGTTGGACACGGATGTGTCTTACAGGTTCTAAGTGTTTCCATGTATTCGGAGGATGCTTGGAAGTTATATTCCCATACCATTTGTTCGACATAAGTGTAAATGAAGAGTCGGAGCAATATAGAGAGTAAGCATATACATAGAAAACAATATTGGTAGAGGTATAGTAGGATCTGGTATTAGTATACCAAGAGCTTATTTAGGAATAGACTAAGATAATATCTTATTTTTGAGATAAAAGTGGGTTCAATCTCGTAACATGTGAATGCTGAGGTGACATTTCAGGAATTACTTCTTGAATATGAATTATATGTTGTTCTTTGTGATCCACTGGGGTCAATGTAGTAATTTTGTAAAATGACCCCTATGGTTCATTGCTGGTATTCTAATGAAGTTAATGTTATACGACTGCGAATTTGTTTTCTATTCTAGAACATGATATTAGATTAAGTTTGACAATCTAAATCAATATTTGAGAAACTAAATAAATGGGAATATAATATAGTGCATAGGATAGGAGTAATTGCAAACAGTTTGTGTGTGACATAATCGAAACAATCAGTCTTTCTTAAGTTGCTAAAAGGTATCCTGTATCTTTCATAAACAGTGTGTATGTTAGCAGCTGGCTTGATACAGTAATCAATTTACAAAGAAATGGTATCCTGCTCCTTCAATATCTTTGTTCGTCTGTAACTTGACTTTTTTTTTCTACCTGCAATATCTCAGGACTCAAAGATCTTGCTGATTTCCTTCCAGCAACCTTGGGAACCATCTTTAGCTACTTCTCTGCTGAAGTAACGCGAGGTATATGGAAGCCAGTTTTATGAATGGAAGAGATTGGCCAAGTCCCTTGGTGAATTTATCCATTGTCGAGCAACAAATAAAAAAAATTATAGCTGCCACTGGTGTTGATGTCCCAAGCCTTGAAACAGGTATTATTCCTACCATCATGTTTGTTCCTCTTCCCGAAATATTAGTTTTTGAATAATGATAAGTTTCTATCGATTTGTATCCCCAGAAGTGACCTTTCAAGAAAAAGTTGCTTCCGTTATACTGTCCACTGCAACATTTTTCTGTAATTTAGAAGAAAAAGAGAAAAATGAAAGCAAAGATCAAATTTGGAATTGGAACAGTATATGGAATGTGAATCCAAAATGAGGATTGATCTACATGTTCTTTAGACACAGTCACACAGTTCCACTGATATATCCAGACCCTTGCAATTTTAAAAGTGTCCTAAAAATGAGTTTTATCCTAAGCATGTTGTATAATTTGACTGATTGGTCGGCTAATATTCTATCTCCATCTCTTACTTTTGCTTGCAGAGGGGAGTTCTCCTGCTATGCTTCCTTTTCCCTTGGCTGCCCTTGTTAGCCTCGCAATAACCTATAAACTTGATAAAACCTCCGAGCACTTCCTGAGTTTAATAGGCCCAGCATTGAATTCCTTAGGTGGAGGTTGTCCTTGGCCGTGCATGCCCATCTCTGCACTATGGGCTCAGAAGGTTAAGCGGTGGAATGATTTCCTCGTATTCTCTGCTTCCTGTACTGTCTTCCACCACAACAGCGATGCTGTGGTTCAGCTTCTTAGGAGTTGCTTCACGTCTACTCTTGGATTAAGCCCTTCTATCATTTGCAGCAACGGTGGAGTGGGTTCACTCCTTGGCCATGGATTTGGCTCTCATTTCTCCGGTGGAATGGCTCCAGTTGCCCCGGGGATTATGTACTTACGAGCACATCGGCAAGTCAGAGATATCATGTTTATGAACGAAGAAATTCTCTCTCTTTTAATATCTTCTGTGAGAGTGATTGCCAGGAGTGGGTTGTCAAGGGAGAAAATGGAGAAACTGCAGAAGAAGTAGTTCGGACTGAGATGTAGGCAAATTTCTCTTGGAACAGCAATGACACGAGTCAAACTCGCTGCTTCACTTGGGGCTTCATTGATTTGGACTAAGCCAAACTTGCCACTTGATGATATAGGTGCATATCATTACATGTAGAGAGCTTTAAAACAGGGAAACGAAGAAACAATTCTTTGTAAATATGGTCTAAACCATTCTTTTTATTTTATTTGAATGCTTGCTTGATTCATGTTTTAGTTATTTAATTTTCCCTATTTGTGATATGATGCAGTTGAAACACAACACGAATGATTCATCCTGTTTAATTTTTTTCCGCATAATCGAATATTCTAATTCAGTCGATCGAACCGATAATTTGGATATTGCTCGATTTAACCTTTTGGATTAATAGAATATCCAAGAAGAGAGACGTAAATAAACCTTAAATTTAACCCAAACTTGTTAAAATAGTTCATCTCCCAAACCCAGAAGAATCTGAGAATCAGAATACCAAAGCAAAACCCCCAAGTAATGAGAGGCCGACGTTATATCATACATACATACGTATAAATATACATACATGTATACGATATAATTTGAAAAGTGAGAAGCAAAGGGGTTGATTTTATATTAGGCTAAGAAAATGAAAATGAAAGTAAATTAAGTGTGAGATTGAGAACTAGCAGGGGAGGCAGTACTTGATGGAGACTGTTTGTTGGCAATCCTGGTTGTGGGAACGAGCGGGCTGCCCTCTTCTTCGAACAAGGACTCCAGCGGCTTCTCCATGTCAGTACCCTTGAATACCGGGTGCATGTATGCATTTTTCAGGTATGCTTTTAGGTTAAAGTTGGGTTCCGTTGCTCGTTCCAGTGTATCTTTTATCATCGCCTCCTGCATTTGGTTTTTCGATTCAGAATTCGAAACATCTGTGTAGAAAGACGAGAGATGAGACATTAGGTACCTGCAAGGGGAATTTGACGAAAGCCGACTCGAAGCGGCCCTTGCAGAAAGCGTAGAACCAGATGGTGAGAACAGGGAGGGGAAGGACAGCGAAATAGGATTTGCCAATCTTCTTTGTGCTCAACAATCCCAACAGCAGAAGTTGGGATATTATTAGACTTATAATTATCCGTTTATGCACGTCTGGCCAAAATGCAGCTGCACTCTCGTACTTTTGATCATACACGTTGATTATCTTGCATTGCACCCCACAAACAACAACATCCTTTATCAGTAGTTTCATTGTAAAAATTCCATTTAAAGTGTATATTTTATGTAGCCAAGGTTATCGAAACTGGATTCAGACCATCGATTTTCAAATGTTTCGCTTTCCAGGTCGATTATTACATTGTTTTTAAAAAAAGACATAGGATATAATTATATTAGTACTTAAAAGATCCTAAATTTTAGGATAATTTTAATATAAAACATTTTTTATATTAGGATTAATTATATTCGAATCAAACAAATACACATGTAGGACACTTAATTCAAGTCGAACACATACTCATATATAACATTTAACCCGAATTCAGTAAAGGAATCCATAAAGCTCCAGATAACATAAAACATGCAAGGAGGATTAGGTTTAGCCAGTAGTGTACCTGGTTGCGAAACACCACATAGGCAAAAGCAAGGAAGATGATGATGAAAGGAAGAAGCAGAGGGGTGATAGGAGAATAAACAAGTCCCAGCAAGATATATAACTGGATCCTTGGTTCATTTACTGCGAAGTCAATGCAACCAGGGTCCATTGCTTCAGCCCTATCTTGTTCTGTTTTAACCAAAAATGCATTTTTCAAGTGGAACAGAATCAAAGGCACTAATCTCAGGCTTTCTGCAGCAATCCCTGCCCATCCATCCACCATTATGTAAGTTATGAAAAAATTGGCTTTCAGTGGGATAAATTCCCCAATGGTTTCCGGGATCCTGCACAAAGTAGCAAAAAAGATTTAATCACACCTCCATATGGCACGAGAAAGATAACCATGTTTCGTTCATGCAAACATCTTTGTTACTTGAACTCGGTTGTGTCGGACACACATCAAATACGAGTGTTATATACGGATATTTCAAGAAAAAAGAAAAATTGAAACAAAATAGGTGGTACGGACATAAATGTTGTATGAGCTCATCGGCAGAAAATCAAATCATACACACATTATGGAAGATCATTGCACAGAAAAGCGTAAAATATTGCAACTGAGAAGAAAATAGAAGGAACTAAAGGATAAAAAATGAAGACATTCATCTGTTCAGCTCCAGCATCAATTTTGGAAATATTATGGTTGCGTGTGCATATGTCACACGTTTGAATTCAGCGCAAGAAGGTACAAATTTCTATCGCAGGGATACCCATCATTGCTGATCTAAAGAACCACGGTTGTCGACCATCAATTTATTTCAGTATACTTGATGGGAATATCATTAAGTTTTAGGAGTTAATAGCTTCATACAATGCCTAGGTTCTAAAACGATCCAACTTCAAAGCATTCCAATTAAGTCTTCCGATTATTAATTATCACTTTAATCAAGTCATTGTGTCAGTCTAGTCATCTACTTGAACATTAAATGTCAAATCAGATATGACATGAACTATATTTAAAATACATAGATCTAAACACGTGTACCCATGCTGCATGGATAGTTGGAATCTGACATGCTAAAAAGCAAACTGTGTCATTAAAGTTAAATAGGGTTACTTCTTTTTCTAAACATATCAAATTCAAGTTGTCCATGGGATAGGTGCACAATATTTAAAGTTTGATCTGTGTTTTAATTATGCTTCAAGTCATATCAAAACTGACATTTAACGACTAGACTGGAAGAACTTGATTGAAACAATATCGATAGTTTGAGATCTCAAAAATTAGAACTTTTTAAAGTTTGGGGAGCAATCTAGAATTTGATTCATAGTTTGGGGGCGTTCGGTGTAATTAATGCAAGTATTAGATATGTAAGCGGTAAACCCATCCATTTTTTTCAGGGAAGAAGTAAAAAGTACATACTCTGTTGGAGGCTTTTCGAGGAATGTTTTAAGCTGCTGAAGTGCCGAGCCAGTGATAACGCTTCCAAGAAATATATTGACAAGAATGAACATGTGATATTTCGCAGCTGATCTTCTATCCAAAGATGAAAATGATGGATATCCTTCTATTATAGACATTGTCATAAGAATCTTTGGAAGTAAAGCAAGAAATATCTTCAGTGCAATCCCAGGGAGAAATCCTTGGATGACGGATTTGACTGACTCCCTGAAACAAAGTTTCAGATCAGTTGTAAAGTTTTAGCTATTAAAAGTCTCAAAACATCATAATACTTGTTGCAAGGAGGGAATGAAAACCTACATTGCTCGGACTTCAAGCAAAATATTTAATGACTATAGTTATGAGGAAAATATTGAGGGACACATGAGGAGGTGCTTATTGCTTAATTAATAGAAAGAAAACCGAGACAAGAAACTTACACTTGTATCAATGGCTTCAAGAAAGGAAAAAACTTTTCAAATTCCTCAAGGTTGGCCAGTGATTGAACAAAAGTTATAGGGATCATGAAGAAGAAAATCAGAAAAAATAGAGCAACGGCCACTATCAACCTTCGAATGGTGAGTTCAAAATATGGTATAGCAAAATTATCCCAATAAACATCACGAGGCTCAGGAGCCCATTCTGTCAACCAAATTGTAGGATTGCGGTTTTGCTGAGTTTGAGCACAAACCGCTGCCCCCCATCGCGATTTGAATGAAACAAATGCCGCTGGAACTATAGAATCAGGATCATGCGAGACTCTTTCCCTTTCTGCAGCTTCCTGCATAAGATTGAGGGAATTTCAGATTTTGTCATGAGTAACTAAACTACACATTAACTGCAGAAAAAAAAAATACTAAGGGTGCGTTTGGTTCACGGAATGTAAGATTATCAGTGGGAATAAAAGATTACCAGAGAATAGGATTACTGGGAATGTTATATTTTGTGTTTGGTTGGTTTAGCATGAATGTAAGATTACCGTGTTTGGTTAAAGGAATAAAAGATTATTGGAATGTATATTTAACCAAATTGTCCTTATTATATATTTGTATAATATTACAAATTGTAAAATATTTATATATTTTCTTTAAAAAATTAAATTTATAATATTTATATAATTTTTTTACAAAATTAAAAGTATAAAAAAGGTTTAATGAAAGGGTAAAAAAAATTTAATCCCTGAACTTCATATAAAATTTTAATTATAGATTTTTTTTGTAAATCTAAAATAATTTAAGGATAAATTTGTAATTTAACCTTCGTAGAATTTTTATTATTAAATGACAGAAGAAGGATGTTTTTGAAAAAAAATAAAAATTTAAGGTCATTTTAGTCCAAAACGCCGGTAATGTTACAATACGTAAGGGAAATGAGGTAATGGCATTCCCGGTAATATACCCCAAAAAATCTACTATTGGTAATAAAACATTACCTGGAATGAGATTCTCGGCCAACCAAACATCCCACAATCCTTGAACCAAACACCCCCCTAAGGGATGAAAAAAGATGAGGGAGAATGGGAAATAACATTGCGTTGCCTGGAAGGTAAACTGCATATCATCTTAATATTGCCTGATTCTACCTATATATTCTTACCTTAATTGAATAAGAAGATAGGAAATAAAGGTTTTTCTCATGTGTCAGTGTACATGTGCCTGGAAGGATGTTGGCGAGGGAATGCTTAACCAAGACAGACAACGTAGCCATAGCCAATATCCGTTTTACTTGGACTCAGGTGTAACGGTGGAATATGGAACATGTCCGACAAGGGCACGTCTTTAATTTTTTTTTTCTTATGTGTTTGGAGGTTCCGTAGAGAACAATACAAAAATCCAAATATATGTTGGATACAAGTGTTATATATGCTTAGTCTTTTTAAAAATGAAGAGTAGAAATGATATAGGCCAATAAAGATATAAACTCTTCATAGGAAATTCTAATAAGTATAACTTCATCACATGATAGATTTTGCGCAACAAAGATATTTAAAAACAAAAAAAGAATCCCAGCTCAGTCACCACAGTACTTACTTCTTCACTCAGCTTCTGAATCAGAGAAGTATAATGATCTATTGCATCAACTTCAGCGCCCCAAAGACCCATGAAACCTGTCTATAATAAGAAATTTGGACAATGAATTAAACAGCATAAAATTAACATAGAATAGCAAATGCCAGTTGATGTAATATTAAACAAACTACTCCGCCAAGAACGGAAATGAAGCGAAATATAGTTTTTCAAGCAAAGATATTACCTTTGTGGTTGGCCTATTTGAAGTTCTCTCATACTTGTTTTGGTAGTAAATATACCAATTTTGTAAACTGCGCTTCTCGGCAACCAATGCTGCTAGCTTATTTGCATTATATACAATCTACCAAAGTTACAGAGTAAAGCAGTTAATGTTCATATCAGTGTAAAATAGAAACATAATACTTCAAGAGAGCTTCAATCCCAAAACTTGTAACATAGGATTTCCTGTTAGACCATCCATTTTTCTTATTTCCTGCACTATTGCTACTTAGAATTAATTTAACAGTCAAATTATCATAGGTGAAAACTTGTCAAAGAAAAATTCACCTGGTGAGTAAGATAATGATCAGGATGATTTACACGAAAAAAATGTTGGACATGCTCACTAACTGATTCATCTGGATCAGGAGGAATATTTTGTACAAGAACCTGCAAAACATTTTAAAGGTAAATGAAATAAGTATGAAACTGGGATAAGATAAAATTGCTCAAGCAAGCATGCACATGTATGTTGATTGTTTCTAACATGATAGGCAGCTGCCTATAATTATTAATGTCCATAACTTCTATCTGACACAAACAACAGTGTCCATTTGGTTATATTAACTTAAATTAGAATGACAGAAAAAGGCCTCGAGGAGACACTGCAATCTAAAATTTTCGAGCTGGGGCTCTCAAGGTTTTAAACAGAGGAAGATATGGTTTATGAAAAGGGAGGGCTACCTGCCGTCATGTAGCCCAAGGGTCAGTATATCCAAAAAATGTTTATGATTGAATCAGGGAGCAATGATACAAGGAAACCTCAGTTATATACTTATATAGAAAAATGGTCCAGCAACACCGTAACTGGGAATTGTGAAAAGAGGGGGAAACCCCAAATATGGGTACTAAATTTATTAGCAATGATATCTCAAAATATATATTGGAAATGATGATGCAAAACCATCAACAAAGACACTTCATAAGCCATAGCCTGATCAATAGGAATGTACACTATCATATTATGCAAGATGCATGCTGTCTATTTACTGTTAATTGTACTAGATTAATATCAAGCGAAGCTTCTCTATTTTAATTGTATGATTTTTTATGAGCATGACATTAAGTTGGAGATTTGATTTAGATGCTACAAATGAGAGCATAACCAGTCTAGTCAGAGATAGAGTATCTCTGAAATTCTTCATAAAAGTGAAAAACATCTTAACATGCCCTTTAGTGAGAAACAAATAATATTTAATCATGATTGGATTATTTAGCAACAGCTTTTTGAAGATATGACAAGTCATTCCCTTCAATGTATAAGATATTGTGATAGTATCTAGATATGGTTGTGTTTTAATGTTTATTTTTCAATTTTTATTAAACATTCTAAAGCATTCGACAAATCAACCTGTATAAGACAATTGACATCAGCTTACAGATGAGATAATCTTATATGTAAAAGAGAGAAGCATATGATTATCTGCATAACAACAATACCACCTAGGGATGGGCTTGGGACCCGAAACCGACCCGATCGGGTTGGCTTTTTAAAAAAAAATTGGGTTCGAGTTAGGTCGGGTTCGGGTTTAGGGTGAAACATACCCGACCCGACCCGAAAAAAATATAATTTTACCTTATATATTTAGAAATAATTACAATAATACCACTCTATATATATTATTTTTTCAATTAAATCACTGTTTTTGTTTAATAAAAATAATATTTTTATTATTATTTCGGATCGGGTCGGGTCGGGTTCGGATTTTATTTTAAAAAGTCGGGTCGGGTGGAGGGTATATATTATGCGGGTCGGGTCGGATTTTAGGTGGATAAGTCATTGTTCTCGGGTCGGGTCAGGTGGACCAAAAATCCGACCCGACCCGACCCATGCCCATCCCTAATACCACCATAATAAGCGCAGAAAATAAAAAAAAAAAAAAAAGAGGAAAAAAACTCACTGTGAATTGATCAGGACGACGAAGTTCTGATGCTAGATAATCCAACCTCATAGTAGCTAACACTCCATATTCTGAGTATAGCATATAAAACGTCCAGAACGAGAATAGGTATGACATAATAATATGTGCCCACAACCTGAAAAAGGATAAGTTGAGACTTTCTACTAAGAAATGCAAAATTCAAATTTTTAAGACATTATTCTAATACCCAGGTTCATTTAAAAGCTAATAAAGAGAAGAGACAATGCACTGTATTGATTGGATGAAGGCCTAATGCTGGATTTTAAGACATTATTATAATACTCCGATTCATTTAAAAGTCAAAATAGTGTGGCCCCTCATGCACAAGACCTTTCAAATAAAAATGATAACTACAAACCGCAGTTTTTCCTTTCACTAATATTAGAATGACGACACCAGAAGTTTCAACCATTTACCCTAAAAATGTACATGAGGACTTTGAGAACAGGTTGAAGAAACCAAAATGACTAAATGAGTAAGAAACAGGTTTCAGAACTGGAAATTTTTTGTAGGGTAACTTGGTATATAGTATTGTTTGAAACCCACTTCTTCAACGCTGAATAATGAATATAACACGGATATTTAAATAATAGAAACCTGTCGCACATTATGCCTTGATTGCTACACTTACACAAGTGTGATTGGAAAGGTCTAGTATTTAACATGTGTCAAACAGGGTACAGCATTCGAGAAGAACCGAATTAAACAACTACTGCTGACCTGTTTGATCCATCTGGAACGTTTGATATGGAGAGCTTATCAATGTCGCTATAATCTATATCCTTAGAACGCTCTAATGTATCCCCTGTCCAATTGACAGGGGCCAAAATCGCAAAAGCCATGACAGCTAGGGGAACAAATATTTTCAAGCTGCACAAAAAAATACCGTCATAATCATATTATGTCTATTCTGCACTATCCACAGCAAAAGAACAGTATGAAATTACAAATGGTACTCACGGATCTAACATAACTATTTCATTTCTAATTCTCATACTATTTGTTCCTAAATCAAATGGAAAAATGTCAAACACAGGCATCTAAAAACTGACCGAGAAGGTAAATCCGAATATAGGCAACAGAATCAAGTCCTGCATGTTCAACGAGCTCGGGTTCAGGCATTCTCAAAGCCGCAGGCATCCAATTCAAGAAAGTACAATACGTCCTGCAATCTAAGTTGACAAATTTTGATGCAGAACCTCCAGATCGAGTAGGGCTGCTTCGTATCCCCTTTTTGTACCATTTAGGGAAATAAACTCTGTCATTGAAAGGCTGAATCCTCAATATTGCAAAAGCCATGAGGAATCCGAACGCTGAGAGAAGATTAATAGCAGCTGCCGTAGCTATATCTCGAAGAGACGCCATTTTCCTTCCTCGCCGATTACCGATTCAATTCACTCAAAAAAATTCTAACAACAAAAAAAAAACGTCAATAAGGCGTACCACCTTAAATTTTGCATCATACAAAGAAGCGAAATGAAACCTGAAAATGGCGCGCGAGGCTTCTGTGAACCAGGATTTCCTGAATCGACTCAGCGATCGAAAAAAACTCGATCCTGTTGTCTTCGTAAATGGCGTTGAAATTTGTGAGAATTTTTTTCTTTATTTTCTCATCTTCTCCGCTTTTTATTGAGACGAGAGAGTTTTATGGCAGAGAGAAATGGGGATTTGGCGGCAAAAAGAACAGCACGGGAAAACCGAATTTTTCTTGTCCGTACACTTGATCAACCAACTTTTGAAGTCGAAACATTTTAAAACTTTTTTCCATTCTTGACGAAACTACCCATCTACACTGATACTTTCGTTTATATTCTAAATTAAGCGTCTTACGGGATAATCTCTATTTAAAAAGCGAAAATAACCTCAGTGATAAAAAATGTCTTATAATATACGATTTTAATCAACTTTTTTTTGATTTGTCAAAATGACCAACTAAATCGCAATGTGATCGATAATTCGCAACGCGATCTCCGGTATCGCAAATCAGTTCGTTGCGATAGTCGAAGCTCGCGTTGCAATTTATTCCAAATTCGTTGCGATAGTCCAAAATCGCAACGACTAGTGGTATTGCATTTGTTTTTTAAGAATTTTCTCTAAAATTATAGTATTCGCGCGGACGCGTCGAAGACACGTATTACCACGACCACGACCCGAGACGAGACGGCGGCGGCGGCGGCGCGCGAGAGTCCCCCTTGTTCTCTATCACTCAACAAGGAAGTGGGAAAGCCAAGCCTTAAATACAATTCCCAATAGTGTTTCCAATACTATGTGAGATTGAGCATTACCAACACTTGTTCCCAATACTATGTGGGATTGAGCCTTAAATAGTGATATTATTTTTAAATGTTTTGCTTAAAATTGCAATAATCGCGATTGATTGTAGATTGACTTTTAATTATGACATATTTAATCGTATAATACTAATGCAATTGGTTGCTGATTCAATTATTTTAAGGTGCATGATTGTTAATTATTTCCTGAATAATCACATTGTATTGGGAACAAGTGTTGGTAATGCTCAATCCCACATAGTATTGGAAACACTATTGAGAATGATATTTAAGGTTTGGTTTTCCCACTTCCTTGTTGAGTGATAGAGAACAAGGGGGACTCTCGCGCGTCGCCGTCTCGTCTCGTCTCGTGGTCGTGGTCGTGGTCGTGGTAATACGTGTCTTCGACACGTCTGCGCGAATACTATCTTTTTAGAGAAAATTCTTAAGAAACAAATGCAATACCACCAGTCGTTGCGATTTTGGACTATCGCAACGAATTTAGAATAAATCGCAACGCGAACTTCGACTATCGCAACGAATTTGGAAAATCGTAACTCGAATCGCAACGCGAACTTCGACTATCGCAACGAATTTGGAAAATCGTAACTCGAACTTGGACTATCGCAATGCGAATATGTAAATCGCGTTGCGATAGTCGAAGTTCGCGTTGCGAATTTGGAAACTGATTTGCGATACCGGAGATCGCGTTGCAAATTATCGATCGCATTGCGAATTATCGATCGCATTGCGATTTAGTTGATCATTTTGGCAAATCCAAAATAAGTTGGTTAAAATCGTATATTATAAGATATTTTTGGTCACTGAGGTTATTTTCTCTTAAAGTATAATGACCACCTTAACCTCTTTCCTAATTTGGGTTCATGATTGGGTAGGATTTATTCTATACCCATGATTGCATGATGATCAACAGAATTTAATAATGTCTAATTTTATTTTTTTTATAGGTATCACAAAATTTTAATTATGGATGTGAGACGTTTTTAATATTTATGACCATAAAATTATTAATTAAATCGAGTGTAAATGAACATTTTAATTTTTGGGTCTGACAAATGACAATAATTTATAATTTGACATTGATTTAGGATTCTACTTTAGGTATTGTCGCACATTCTTATTTATGATTCAAATTTTGATTTTAAATCAGGACATCAATTGTAACTTATAAATAGACAGAAACACAAATATAATTGTTATCAAACTAAATTTGGAGTTATAATTGAAATATAAATACAACATCAATAATAACTAAAATATAATTACATGATTTGCAATGATTTTCATACAAGTGTTCGTTCGTATTCTTACATAGATAATTGATTTTCTGAGTGAAATTACTAGTTACAAATTTCTCTCAATTTTTTCGTTCTAAATTACATGCATAAGTTGAATATACACAAATTAATTCGAGTATTTTACAATAGACAACACTGAGATAAAAAAAAATGAATAATTTCAATTTTGTTTTTGACTAGGTAAGATTATTAGATGGTTGATTGACATTATTTAAGATTTTAAGTTTTTTATTTTTTTAATGTGAAATTAATATCTTTACCTTTTTAAAGTACAATATTTTCTCGCAATCGATCTTATAATGTATTGGTCATAATCATCGTCAAGATTATTTATTTTGTCTATCTCACCCAGTAAGGTGCTTGATGTGAAATTGTATAGTTAAAAAGTTATTTTGATACTGATTATGACGTTATTACCTTCTTTCCAAAAGACGTTTTATAAAATATGTTGTGTCATTGCTTTCTATATTCAAGAGCCTTCTTATATATATATATATATGAGATTAATGTCCTCCAGTTCTTCAAGATGTGAGACAAGGATAAGATTTCCCTGGGTTAACCAAAGATATTCGAATTTGTAAAGATTAATAAAAAAATATAAATATTAGAATATGACTTAAATGCGTGAAAAATAATTTAAAAAATTAAATATATATTAATATCCTACACGCAAATTGTCCGTGCAACTACAAATAATCTCTAGGCTACATATCATCACAATATGCTGGTTTTAGCTTGTAACATCGTCAAAGATCAAATGATGCGTGAAAGGGAAACATGATAAGAAGAAACAAACGTTGTGTACTTTACCGAAGGCTTTTGGCAGATCAATCTACGTTTGGAAGGCGCCCGTGCAACCGATGAAGCAGCGACGACAGCAACAACTCGTATCCTCGGAAAGTTTGTTTCATGTTCGATAATATTCGATAATATAAAACCCGAATAGCATTGTACCTTTTATGTACATCAATGTATAAATCGGTCTCATCTATGATATCCTCCTACAACACATAAAAATATCATCAAATACATAACATACATGAAGAAAAGTGATGGAAGAGGCACTTACTTGGAGAAGTTCTTCGAACAAATCTTCGAAGGTAATGATACTTAACGACTTCCCCTTCTTCCATATCCTCCGAAAAACATTGCAAAGTATTCGGCGGTTGAGTACTTTAGTGACGATCGAAGGTTTGTCAACATCGACCATAACACAATATGATATGGTGTCATATTTGGTCAGCAAATGGTCGAAGGTTATTGTTTTTCTCAATTTAGGATGTAGGCAAGATCGAATCAAGTTAACTTTTGTCTATTACGTATGTCCCATCTCATTTTCGGCACTATCCTCTTCGTCTTCGTCATCATATTTTCTTTCGGGATCATTCTTGTCTAAAGGTCCGAGCATTTCGGGGGAACTTCTGAATAGTTTCTTTACTTTGTCTATCCCTTCGTCGGGTATAAAATTTCCATTGATATTCAGCAACATAAATCCGGGTTTTGTCACTACTACCTGAGCCAAATGCCCAGCACCGGCTTGCCTAATGGCATTCGTGCTCATATCAACTTCATTCAACTGACTCTCCTAATCCAACCTAATTTTCTATTGATTGATTAATCCAAATCAAACATGTAAAGATTCATTATAGGACGACTCTCGTAACCAGTTTTCTTCAATTACAACGTCAGAATTCAAATCTATAATGCCTCCTCCCACTAGATCAAGTAGTTGTGAATGGATTCTTTTATTAACTTCCGGCATCGGTCTACTGGATTGTTTGGCATATATTTGCATTGCATCCCTCCCAATTCAATTTTCTCTGTTTATAATGTCAAAATTTAAATCCCGATTTTGTTTAAAGGATCTAATATCTCATATTACTATATCAACTAATTGTGAAAGGCCTCTTTTAATAACTTCCAGCATCAGTCTACTGGATTCCTTGGCATGTATTTGCACCGCAGAACCTCCATCACCATCAGGATTCTTGTAATCTTCATCTGCAGCAGCCAAAGCTAATTCTTCTATTTTCTTGGCATCCTCCACGGCCTCTTCATTACTCAATAGGCCACGCTTTCTAGAGAAAATGGATGAAGTTGTAAGTTTCTTCGTCATCCTCTCTACAACTAGCCTCCTGCCACGACTAGGTGGCCAAAATTTCACAGACAATGAGCAGTGTCGGAAAGTTTTGTGTTTCAGATTCCATGCTTAATTAACCCAGGACCATGACATGTTGCAACTTGCAAATACATTATAACAAAACCACGGTACTTTCTTCTCTAAATTCTTTTTTTTCTTCGATCCTATTCTAAAACTTTGGGTCAGTTCATGACAACCAAATGAATTTGATAGTCGAGAGAGATTTGTAACCAGTTCTACATATCAAGATTTCAGGTCACTGAGCCAACACAATTCATATTTGAACTATATTTTCTTGGCCAACACAATTCGGGTTAAGTTTTGAATCGGACAAAACCTTCTTAAATCTGAGTTAAGTCTAATTTTAAGTGAAAGAAAAATATTTCTCAAATCAAATTAAATTGATAAAAAAACTTAATCTAACTTGACGCATAACCATCCTTAAATACACCAAAGAAACTCCACCCGCTGGCCAAGACGAGGGACTTTATGGCTCATAATGTAAATAGTAGATTTGAAAATCCAATTCATTAATTACAGGATCCAGAAATTAGATACATAAAATCTAGAATAATTTATTATAACTTTCCAAAATGAGAATCCATTATCAGAAAATAACAAATGTCTGACCCCTTTGTTTCAAAATTTATTACAGGATCAAACATTTGTCATTTCTTACCAACTTTGTTCTTGCTATATATGCATAGACAGCCATTACTAGATTATCAAGCAGCTTTGTCTAAATTTCTCCCCATTCAGCAGTCACAAGTGTCAACCTCTTCAATGGAAAGCAGACATTTTCGTCAACAAATTGCTGCATTGAGGCAATCCTTCTTTGATGAGGTTTTTTTTTTATATACTGCATTACAGTATACATGCATGCATGCATGCATCTGTCATATATATGAATGTGTAAGGTAAACATCAGATGATACAATGAGGCAATCCTTCTTTGACGAGGTTTAGTTTTGTTATACTTCCTCCGCAAACCCTTTCTCTCAAACCCTTTCTCTCATACATCAAATCTTATGAACCAAACAACATTGACCGTCTATAACTGCACTATGAACCACCGATTGTGGTTCTCTACCTAAACCAGAAGGGTTACACTACCAATAATCACTACAAATGTTTCGGTGAATAAGTTTATAAACTACATCACAATATACATGCATGCATTTGTCATATGAATGTGTAATGTAAACATAACATGATACTAGCAATGTAGGGGATTTTGGACGAGCAATTCACTGAACTGGAGCAGCTAGAGGAGAAAGGTAACCCCAGCTTCCTACAACAGGTGTTTACCATGTACTTCAACGACTCCACTACAGTGCTGGATACTGTTGAGCAGGCACTGTGAGTAAAACTGTTTGGATATATGTCTATATATTAAGATGGTGAGAGTGATAGCTTTGGAAAATAATCTATGCAGGGGAGAAATTGATGTTGTTAAACTAGAGCATGTGCTTCATAAGTTCAAGGGCAGTAGTGCCAGGTAAATTCCCATAATCTGTAAAACAAAAGCTTAATCAAATGTTGGTTTAATGGGAAACCGATATTGTTAACTGAAGCGTTGGTGCAAAGAAAGTTGTAAATGAGATCATCAAAACAAGAAGGCTTTTGGGGGAAGGGAACCTAGAAGGGTAATGTTCTTTTTTCCTATTGTTGTTTCACTTTTAAGATAAACTTTAGTTCGCTATTGCATGTTAGAAATTATGATATAAATTTTGTTTAATTCAATTTGAAAATTTTACAATACGATCTGCTTGATGAAAAATTTAATTAAGAGAAAATATGAGATTTTTTTATAGATGCATAGACTCTCAAGCTGAAGGATACGAGAGCAGAGTCTTCACAATATGATATATATAAGTTTATTTTCTAAGATTTTTCATGTATGTATGTGTATTTAGGGTTTCTAGAGGTAGTGTGAAAAAAAAAAGTTTTGTGAAAATTATTGTGTGTTGCACTTGGGGATAGGCATGGGGTTTAAGAGTTTTTTTAATTATTCTGATCCTAAACTACAAATTAAAGACTTTTATTGAATTCAATCTTGTTATTAGGTGATATTTTATATGATATGAATTTTGGGATTAAAATTTACCCTCGACTCAATACAAATAATTTTAGTATTTTTTTATTTGTTAACACAGAAAGATAATTGATATATATATATGGAGTAACATCATAGTAATTTTTCTTAGATATATAAAGGGATGTTATAATAATTATTTGAGTCGGGTGAGGTTGGAGACTTTTATTCTAAATATATATTTTTTCTTGACCTAACTCCCTCTTTGAAAAAATTCACCCCAAACCTAGATTTTTTATTAAAAAAACCCGATCTTATAGGAACGAGTCATATCAAAATCCATCAAATATTTTGACCATCTCTAAAGGGGTGGAAGCTAAGCTTCGTCCAGGGCCACTACCTCCCATTTTTTATTATTAAAAAAAAGTATATGGGTAAATATTAAATTAGGATTCTAGATTTTAGTTTATTTTGATTTTACGTCTCATTTTATACGATTATTTATATTTTACTCATTTTCTATAATTAATTATACTTTACCCATCTCTTTTACTCTTGATTTGTTAATAGATTTCTCATGTAAACTTATATATTCTTATTTATTTGCTGGACAGTATCTTTCCAATCTCGTAACATAGCATAAATGCAATACTATTGCATATTGAATTTGAAAATGAAGGTGATGAATTGCATGCAGGGCAAAAGTTGCCTTCCAAGAGCTGCGGAAGGAGTACGAGAATCTCAAGGCCATGCTTGAGCACTACTTTCAGGTTTAGTTTAGCTCCACCATTGTTGGACCATAATACCTAGTTCACTTTAATTTGTTTTTAGTTAGTTCCCCTATGCACAACTCCCACACTGTTTTCTCTCTATGGACAGCAACTGGCGCAAGCAGGCCCTGTTCAGGCTGCACAGCTCCCCAACTGAACTGATCTTGCTTGAATGGAGATGGAAGTTGCTGCTATCTTGTGCTGCTCCTTGCAAATCAACCATTTTAATGTTCCAGAATTGAGATTTCTTTCTTTTGAAATAACACAAGATTATGAAAATATATGTCTTAATGTTTTCTTGAGTAAGTTTATGTTCTACTTTCTACATATTAATTTTACATAAAATATAAGGAGTTCTTATTTATAGTATAAATATCATCATATTTCTAATTTTATATGAAATATAAGGACTTTTGATATAATTAAAGAAGAATGTAACATAATCTTTTATGATAGAATATATGAACTTAAAAAATTATATTAAAAATTTAAAGAACGTAAAATTATAAAATTTATAGATAAAAATATAAATAAAATACTTAAATCATATAAAGATTTAAAATTTTCAGAAAATACAATCTTACTCACGCTTCTCACAATTCATCTCTATGTATATCCTTACATTTGAACGAATTTATTGTATAAGATACCAATATATAAAATAATTTCAATATCACATCCTCCTTAAATGATGTTAATTTTTTAACAAATCCTCTTATTTATTTTATAATTTTGCCTTTTTTTAAAAAAAAATTAACAACAAAGATTATAACCTCTCATTTTATTTGTAAATATAATAAATAATAAAGTATGTAAGAATTAATTTTTGTATTTTAAATAATAAAATTTAACTAATTGTTAAATTGAAAATTAAAAGAAAAAATTAACTGAACCTTTAATGGAAAAAAATCAATTGGATTTGGGGCTTGGTGTGCTACTAATCAAACAAACAGGCCCGCTGCGTTTGAGACTACAGATTATAAAGCTTCCAAACCTTCTCCTTTCACTCCGCAGTATTTACGCAATGTCTAGCGTCAGCAGCATCCAGCAACCGTCAGCCGCCGGCTACAAGCCCTACCGTCACCTGAAAACTCTAGCCGGTCATCAACGCGCCATATCCTGTGTCAAGTTTTCGAACGACGGTACGCTATTGGCCTCCGCCTCCCTCGACAAAACCCTAATTATTTGGTCTGCGTCGACCCTCTCCCTCCTCCACCGCCTCGTTGGCCACTCGGAAGGAATTTCCGACCTCGCCTGGTCATCCGATTCCCACTACATCTGCTCCGCCTCTGACGACCGTACTCTCCGCATATGGGACTCACGTCCACCGTTCGATTGCCTCAAGATCCTCAAAGGACATTCCGACTTCGTCTTCTGCGTTAACTTCAATCCGCAGTCGAATCTCATCGTTTCGGGATCATTTGATGAGACGATTCGTATCTGGGAGGTGAAAACGGGGAAGTGCGTGAGGGTAATTCGGGCGCACACCATGCCGGTGACGTCGGTTCACTTCAACCGCGACGGTTCGCTGATCGTATCAGGTAGCCACGATGGGACCTGCAAGATTTGGGCCGCCAAAGAAGGCACTTGCTTGAAAACCCTAATCGACGACAAAGATCCCGGCGTCTCGTTCACCAAATTCTCCCCCAACGGGAAATTCATCCTTGTTGCAACTCTCGACAGCACTCTCGTAAAGCTAAAAAAACATCATTTAAACTCTGAAGATCAACATGAATTCCCTTTGATGTTATCTTAATTACTCATTCTTTTGAACTGCAGAAGCTTTGGAACTACTCAACCGGGAAGTTTCTGAAGATTTATCAAGGGCATACAAACAGAGCTTATTGCATAACATCGACATTCTCCGTTACAAGTGGTAAGTACATAGTTAGTGGATCGGAGGATAAATGTGTTTATCTATGGGATCTTCAATCCAAGGCCATGATTCAGAGACTAGAAGGCCATTCGGATACTGTTGTATCTGTGACTTGTCATCCTGTTGATAATAAAATTGCTCTGCTTTTCGCCATAAATCATTCTCTATGAAAGTTAAAAGTTTTCCCAATAATATGTTTACTGGGCATTCATGAAGCTATATCTCAGCATGTGAATGCATCGTTTTTATCGAGTCAGGTCTCACTTGCAGAGCCATTGATATTTCAAATGCATATATACAGATTAAGGTTATATATGCATGCATCTATGGCTTCCTGGTCATTTGAAATGGATAATACAGATTAGGTCTCAATATGCAAATGCAGAGAAAGATATACCATCATCTAACATGCATTGTTGCTTTTAGTCTCATGAACAATTCAGGATAATGTCTGGGTGCAGTTCTTTAAAACTTTCAAGACAAGCTTGTTAGTAATTGCTCCTTATTGTGTAATTATGACAAATTCTAACTTTCTAGACATGTTTGACTGGTGTAATATAATTACATATAGAGAATACTAATATAATATACTTGCATATTAATTTTCTACATCATGTTTGGTATTATAAATTATATGTAATATTCATATTTGGTATTGTAAAGGCTTAATACAAAAATAAGTGTTCAAATTATGTTGATCGTCCCATTTAGATGTTTAAATTATTTTTTTAATCAATCTAAGTGTCTAACATTACAGAAGTTGTTATTTTAGTTGTCCCAATTATAGTAATTGTTAAAATATCCTGTTAAGTGACATGTTGTATTTTTGTCATTTTGAAATTTTTATTTTTTAAAAAGAACCTTTAAAATAGATTATTATACTAAAAAAATTATGTTTCTTAAAAAAAATTCCCCCTCCCTCTACCCGAGTATAAAACGCACTTGAGCAGGCATAGATTTTGAAGGAGATAGAACTCTTGTTCTATTCCAAACCTGTTTCCAATCAATCAAAAATAAATATAGAAAGAAAAGGTAATAAAACAGAGTAACATTGACTTATCAAAAACATTCGCAATATGAAATGTTAAACCACTGGAAGATGGTCTTGAGCAATTTCTTCTCAATCCAGGGAGTAGCAAACAGGCTAATTTTGATTTCAATCTTTCAACTCCAGGGAGTGGTAAACGGGGGAGGGACAGTGGGTGAGGGGGAGGGGAATCTTTTGTAAAAGAATATTTTCTAAACATAATAATTTAGTTTTAAAGGTTTTTTAAGAAATTAAATATTTAAAATTATCAAACACATACACATGTTATTTAATGAGTTTTTTTTCCGACTATTACTATTATAACACATAAAATAATAACATCTACATAAAAAATAACAGTATAATTTATGCAATTTTTTTATATTAAGCTTAATTATAGATTATACATGATATATTAGGCTTAATTATGAATTATTAGGATTAATTATGGATTGCACATGATAGTTTCATAAAGATTTTTCGAAACACAAATATAACAGCCGACTTCCTGTCGAAGTTTCTAGGGGGAACATCGATGACATGGTTCTTCCATGCAGAGATCCCGGCAGGTTTGATGCACTTGCTTGTAGAGATGAGATGATCATTAGTTAACTCATATTTTCAATTCAATTCACCCGAATCGTATTAAAAAGATGGACCTTTCTATTCACACTCAACCCGAATTTAAAAGAGACCCACTCAATTCGAATCTTACCTATATATTATTAAATAAAATAAAAATATTATTAAAATTATCTCTAAATAAATAACTAAAAATTATAATATATTATTTCAGATTGCATCAAATCCTTTTACCTAACAATACTCCTAATAAACTATCTCAATTAAAATTTTCAAAATAAAAAATAATTTGTTTAAACCAGGTCATAATTTATTAAGTTAAAATCAAATACTCATTCCTTAGGGTGGATTATAGTGTCCATTTTTCTGGTGACGGCAACGTGTGGCCAGTGGAGGCGGACTCCTATAGCTTCAACGCATGCTTCTAAGGATGTTATAAGAAAATAAAGAACGATGACCTGATTGGTGTATCGTGTTCATATAATAATCATTTTAAAAAAGCAAAACAGAACCATCCATTCAATCAACCATGTACAATGATATCTTAGTCTGGACAACCATACATTTGGCCCCGTTCTTCACATCATTCACAATTACCACCTAAACTGATAAACGGGAGAGATAAACAAGATCAATAGCAAACACTATGGATGACGGTTATCAATTTCTTATGAACCTCAAAGGAAGAATAACAAAAATTAAAATCCTCTTCAACTATCTGCAGCCCTGAAAACAGTAAGCAACGAGAGGAAGAGATTGATGATGTCCAAATACAGAGAGACAGCAGCCCAAATGTACTCGTCGTATGAATATCGCTTGATCAAGTTGTCCGTGTCGTATACGATATAACCGCAGAAAATTATCGATGCCAAGCACCCGTATATCATCACGGAGATTCGACCCAATGGGAAGAGAATCTGTAGACCGATCCAATAATTTCGATAAGGATATAAAAGATATGCAATTTAATAAACAGGACGAAATCGAAGTACCTGGATTAGAGCAAAAACCATAAGAACAAGGACGGCGCCGAACAAGAAAGGGCCAAGGAAGTTGAAATCATGGCCTCTCTTTGCAGCCCAGAAGGTGTAAAGGGTTAGAGCCACGACCACCACGGTCGTCAGGATCACCGACTCCAAAATAACCTTTCCTGCTCATAATGCAAAACAATGCACATCAAATTTAGTTGGTTATACCAAAATGGGATTAATCAATCCAAAGATTAAATACCACTAATTATACAAATAAAAATTTAGTTGATTCACCGTCATGCAGTCAATTAGAAGCATTCTAATAGATAAGAACAAAACTCGATTCGATTCTAAAAACTAAAAAATAAAAATTTGATCGCTTCTAATTATATTTTGAGTTATGCTTCATTTAAATGTATTTATCTTACCGAGAATAAAAGGAATACTTGACCAACACACATTAACTAACAAACCGCAAATTTCATTTAAGATTTAACTATGCTTATTCGTTCTTCGTCAATTTCTATCAAAACAAAAACAGAGTCAAGAATCCAAATCTTACCGCTGGTAAAAGCACACGTCAATCCAACGGCGAAAGCCAAAGAAAGCGTGAAAACTCCAAGCAAAAGATAGTTCACCGGATGCCTCTGGTAATAGTAATACAATGGACACAAAGCTGCAAATTCACAAAGAAACCGATTCATTTTTCTAGTAAACCGAAAATTCACAAATCACGAACGCCAAAAAAAGGAAAAAGAAAAGCACTAATGAAAGGCGTGATGATGAGGACAATGTAAAGAGCCAAGCCAGCCCCGGTGCTGACGAAGAAATGAGAGATCGGACGCACAGTAACCACCGTGGCAGCCACCGCGATCGTAGCCAACAACTGAATGACAATGATGGAGTAAATCTTGCGGATGAAAGCCCACCTCATCTCCGGCGGCTCTAACATCGCCGGATACAGAGGCCTTGCTCCGGCCTCCGTATCGTTTTTCCGGTACGGCTGATTCCACATCATAGTTGAATAGAGATTGAAGAAGCTGAGGAGTGAAGAAGAAATGAGGGAGTGGCGGGTGAATTTGTTCTAGTGCTTTGCTTGTCCGTTGAAGAGGGGATTTAGTGGATGGTTATAAATGGAAGAGAACTGGCGGTTTCTTTGGTGGAGAGAAAGTTCTTGATAGATCTCGTAACAGCACGTACCAGCAGTGAACTTTCCACGAGAAGTTGACACGTGGAGTAATTTTCGTGATTAAACAACATTTAACCCCCTAAACTTGATAAAATTTTCAATCTAATCTTTAATATTTATGTTGTTCGAAATTTAATATTTTTCTAATTTGATCTTTGAATTTAAATTTATTATTCATTTAACTATATGTATATTAATTTTTTATTAAAAATTAGTAAAATATGTTATAAATTATTAAACTATACTCTAATAATTATTTTAATTATTGAAGTTTTAAAAGTTATAAAGTAATTATAATAATGTTATAATAAGTGTAAAAGTTTGATAAATTTATTAATAATTTGATAAAATTTAATAGTTGGTTTATAACAATTTAATAAATTTAAGAATGATTTTGTATCTTTTAAAATTTTAATAAATAAAAAGATCATTTGAACGTGATTCAATAATTTTTAATATATTTTATTCTAAAAGTTTTAATAGAAAATAATTAATAAATTGATCTCAATGATTAAGAGAAGTTTTGTTGTCATTAAAAGTCTAATATTCCTGTAATTATATTGGCAAAGTATATATACATTGTTAATGATTAAAAACAAATACCGAGGTCATTTAATTTTTTAAAAGAAAACATTTACTTCTCTGGTTGGTTAATGATGTAGCAGAGTCACAATTTATCACATCTTTAACCGATTAAAAATTTAAATTTAGAGATCAAGTAAAAAAAATTGATATAAAATTAAAGGATTTAACTAAAAGAAATTAATAAAATTGAGGACTAAATAAAGCTATGTCCATTTCTTTAAAAATAAAACTGTGCAAAGGCGGATAGTTATGAGATATTCTAGAGTACGGAGTGGGGGAAATGGATAATGGCCGCATAATCCATTGCCAGCAAATTCGGCCTTTTATGTTTACTTTATTGTTAAGGAAATGAAATTCCACTATTGGCTTACCAATATATATATATATATATAATATTTTATTAAAAAATTGAAAAGGAAAATTTGTAAATAAAATTGAAAAGCAAGTACTGTTTTGAAAATTGTTCCTTGCAAGTAAATTCCATCTTTGATTCTTTTCTTTAAAGGAGTTATCCAGCAATGTTTGTTAAGGATTTTCTAGAGGATGTGAGAATTAGGTTTTCTATATTTGTTTATTTTAAGCGTAAAGAATAAAAGTATCCTTTAATATTTGTTTATTTATATTACTTTAAAGTTGATTTTTGCATTTAACTTTTCAAAAACAAGTTTTTATTATGTTAATATTAAATTAGCTCATTTTTAATAAATAAATTATAAATAATATTATATATAATTATTTTATTAAAAAAAGAGAAAGTGCAAACGTCATCATCAGATGGTCAAAGACCCGAATGACATCGTTTGTAGACTCCACCTCGTGAGGATTACATGACACGTGGCACAAGTTCCCCCTCTAAGCTTAGCAGCAGAGTGGAAGACACACGTGGCGGAAGAGGGCTCCGCTACCGTCAATACACCCAGGCTCATGTCTGTTGGGTCCCTCGTGTCATTTCCTACCAGACTTTCGCCGGTCAGCACAAATCGGTTTAATAAAAAAAAGGTAAAGTACTGTTTAGTATCTCAATTCTCACTTTTATTCTGTTTTGATCGCCTATTTTTTTTTTATAGAAGTTAAAATTCTCATTAAAAACTCACTTCGTATTCGTCCACATACTAAGAAGTATGTTAAGGAACATTGGAAGAAAGAACAAAGTATCTCATAGTTTATTAATAATAATACTCAATACATAAGAAAACACGAAATATCCTCTTATGGTGGTATATACCATTACAACAAACACCTTAAACTCTCACATCCTCAACCAAAAACCACAATCGACAATCACCCTAATTCTAAGTTACACCTCCAACAATAGGATAAAAAACAACGCAAAATAATATAACACAAAAGAAAACCAACATATGTAACCATTTAAACTAAATCAAAGCCACAATTAAAGAGACGAGATCTAATGAGAATCGACTTCGTCAGGAACCCAAGAATTTTGTTTGAATGATGGCTTTATCTCATGTACCATGATTTTTTTTCAAAATATATAGGATAATATATTTTAAATTTATTTTGATCACACGTTAAAAAATAACATAACAACTACCATAATATTTTTGTTATTTTCTTATTAATGACATGACTTTGTTATGAACATCAATATTATTGTTAACTTTTTAACAACAAATGATTAAAATCAGAATTAAATGTTAAATATAATTTAAAATAATAATAAAAAATCAAGACAAAATAAAAATGATAATTGTGGTACTAAATGCATAATCTACCCTAAAAATATGCGTATAATGTATTAGTTAAGCCAAGGTCATTGGTACATTTAGTACTAGTCTCGATTAAAATGATTAAGTTAATCGATTGTATAATTAATTTTCAAACAGAATCGACATAATCTATAATAATTTTCAGATAAATTTAAAATATTACTTTTAGTCTTCCATCGACCCATAAACAAGAACCCGTGCATTTGAAAAAAAAGGATGATCGAATGATGTATAACAATGGCCTGCATGTTCCGCAGCGGTCGGGCAGTGCTCCAGTTCAACAGAGAGGGCCACACCTTGCAAGTGTAGCAAAATTCTACGAGGATCGATACCGTCATATCACAAAATAACAAATGTTACATTTCGACAAATATTTACTGGCATCAATAGACCATGAAACAGTATGGTTGGATCTTTAAAAAAGTTATCCAGGTGCGTAAAATTAGTTTAGCTTAACACTAATGGGACTGGATCTCACTTTTCTCTCTCATTACATAAATATATTAGGAATAATTCCTCTATGCATAACCCGAATAGTATCCTTAAGATGCAACTCTACACCAAGGGACGGACGCAAGATTTTACGTTAAAGAGGACAAACTTATAAAATTTTAAGGGGCGAAAATAAATTTTTAATAGAAATAGAAAGAAAATATATATGAATATGAAATTTTCAGGGGACGCCCACCCGCTTCCCCTCAGTCCATCCCAGTCTACACCTCATACAAAGTTGATGTTTATATACTCTATTACTAGGGCTAAAACTGGGATATCAATGCCTGCGTTTCACAATTTTTTACACTCCTTTTCACAAGATATTCAGCATACCTTGCAGTCATCGGTTAAGCAGGGGTATGATAGTATCAGCCTTGATGTAATGGTAGCAGACTACCAGTACCTGGCGTTCTGTGTTGCAGGAAAACGGAAACTTCAAAATGAATCCGCCTTCAATCCAACTTCAATATATTCATCACAGTGACTTTCAAAAAATCGAACTTTCAGCTTTCTTGAAATTCCCGTATTAGGTAACAACCTAGGAAATCGGAAGCAAACATAACTAAATAATGTGACAACAGTGTTAACTTTCTAAGAACAATCTTTTAACTTTGAGAAAAATGGTTCACCTTTGTGTACTTCTAACGTTTGTGAGGTTGGAAATACGGATGCCTCAAAGCATCATCAACACTTAATCGATCATCCTACAAAACAAAAAAAATACTTTCAAGCCCCATAACATCATTTTTACAATCAATTCTGCACAAATATTTTGTCTGTAAGCCAAAAGTAAAAATCAACGGAAAGGATAAATTGCATCAGAACATTTTATGAGATGTACAGACACATCATTCGTCGATCTCGATGTTATACATCATTAAACACATTACCAACTCAAGAAAGGGATAAACGCAGGTTAAGAAACAGTTATATCTATGGAAATAAATCTCTCCGAGGAAGGTTGAAAGAACCGCTTAACTACTACCTATTTTGGATAAAACAAAACTAACACGGTAGAGTCGAGTCAAATCAGGTAAGACCCAATCTAGTTTTAAATATTCATTTCAGGTTTAGTCTGGAATTAGATCATTTTGAATTTGGACCATTTTGATATCATGTTAATACAGGTTTGACATGAGTAATTATGGTTTCACACTACAATTGTTCAGGTTCAGAACGGTTGGGCTCAATTTATTAATTTTTAATATCAAAGCAAACTAAGACATGCTTTTATGTAATCTAAAATGATTAGATAAGAATGTTAAAAGGAAATAAAACATTTGTGTAGTTCCCCATGCCTAGAAGTATAATCACGAGAAATAACAAACTAAAATTTCATATATATTAACATACTCCGTCATCAGATTTTCAAAAACAACACATCAAGAATCCCCCCCCCCCCGCGAAGGTGTAAATATGAAAACTTACAGGGTCCCAACGTAACAGGTCACGCACTAACCGCAAAGCCCAAACATTTGGAAATCTGCACAAAATTTCAAGAAAAAAATACAGGCGGTAAATAGCAGTAAGAAATGATGTGAAATATGATAATAATATATTATAGAAGGCAAGAACCTACCCAAGTTTAAGAGGGTCTCTACTCCTTATTTGACGGGAGAAAAATTCTTCAGAGCATTTCCAGGAAGCAGGTGACATGCCACCCTATATCGAATGAAATGGTAAAAATACTAAACATAGGAAATCAATTTCACAATAGGGATACGAACATGAATAAAGGCATTCACAGAGCATCATCCTTTTTAACAAGCATTGTTCGTCTTAACAAGCAACCTTTTTAAAGAAGAAATGAAGGATGCATACCATCAGAAGTAGCACATTCAGTATGCAAATATAAGCCTCTATTAGACAACGTAAAAGATTCAATATTTGGATTAGTCTTTTGTGCAGTGATGTTAAATAGTTAGGTTATAGAATATATCAGTAAACTAAATGTACTAGTATAGGTACATAGAAATATTTGGAACTTCTCTGGAAAAATTCAAAAATAGAATAAAACCATCAGACATTTTGTCTTTCCTTGTCGATGCAAATCCCTCCATCAATTTTTGTTATACAGCAATGAGATAGATTTAATTCGTTAAAATTGATTTTTTTTTCTGCTCTTCACATCAGTTTTGAACAAATCTGATTTTTGACACAACTCAATTTAAAGTTTTGTGTCACTTGCTACAAGCAAACTCTCACTGGCCCTATTGGTGATCAGCACATCACGTAACCAAATTGTCAATCATAGAAATTGGCTTCTACTCAATTCATGGCCTACACTACATAGAAAAGTCAAACCATGGGGCAATGGTGACTAAAGAAATAACATCAACCAAATATACTACTGTGCAATATTACACTGCATGTTCTTGCAATAGCATACATGAGGAATCTATTAGCAATGAGGATCGAAACTTACTTGGTTCATTGCACGATGATGTTTGGAGGAACTCCCGGTGATTAGGATGCACAATTCCATGAATGATCTAAGCCTGAAACCAAGACTTAAGGAATTATAAGGATATTAGACACCATATCTTCCAAGTAAAACATGCTCTATTATTTTATGTGTCCACTTACAAACATAAAATGCCCAGATTGATATGTTTCAGCATAAAACTTGTCGGCAGTTTCAAATAAACAGTTTAGTTGCATAAATAGATCACCCTAAGCCTCCTCTAATCAACTTGTGACTAACAACAATAATTAAATAGTTTTTCCCTACACCCCCTCAAATCAACTCGTGACTAATAGCAACAATAATCGGACGGCTTCCAACCACCCCTAGATAACTTTTACCCGGTAACATGGATTATGAGAAAATAAACAAGGTGATTCTAGAGTTGATAATGCGCATTCACAAGTTGAGCAGCACACGTTTCTTGATGTTAGTGGTAGGCGTTTGTCTTCTAAAAGAAATGGTGGCTTACGGCAGTCTAAGTTTTTATTCAATTCTAAAAGGTTCTCGGAGACCAAGAAGGTGGATTTGGTTAGTGGGGCAGCTGTGCAGGAGCATGTCTATCAAAGTGGTGGTAATTTTCAGGCTTTGGAGAGTGTTAGTGGGGTACACGAGGAAGTGCTGGTTCACAATAAGAGAGGGGCAGAAGACAGCAGGAAAAGGTGTGAGCCTGCACGTGCTTGTGAGGAATATACTTTTCATTCCCCCATGTTGGATGGACGTGTTCCCTTGTTGGATGGGCGTCAGAAACAAAGAGCTGTGGAGGAGAGGCATTGATATCTTTGTTTCTTCAGAATGGTTGTTCAAGGGCAGACTCATTATTGAATGTGATTGTAAGCTGGTCGTGGATTGGATCAAAGATCAAGCTTTGGTTCCTCCTTCCCTTTCAAATTTTGTTAAGGAAATTGTATCTATTGTTTCTTTTAGAAATTTTATTGTCAGGTGGATTCCAAGGTCTTGTAATTGTGAGGCTGACAAGCTAGCAAAAGAGGGGATCGGGTGATTTTTTGGTTGTTTCAGTTGGTATCTGTTTCTGAGCCTAGAAGCTAGAGGAGTGTGTGAGGTCTTATGTTGTATGTAAAAGTGTTTTTAAGTCTTATGTAACTTAGCTTTCATTAATAAATTGAGGTACTCTTTTCCTCCTTCCGCTAGTTGGGCCTTACCTTACGGATAAGGTCCACTAAGAGGGAGGTTTTTAATGAGACCTCCTATTCCTATCAAAAAAAAAAAGTTCTCTCAGAAATTTTCAAGTGAAATTTGCGGCTCAAAAAAGGAAGCCTCGTTAAAGTCGAAGCATGAGTCCTCATAGGAAGGTTAAGGCAGTGGATGTTTTGGAACTTTCAGGAGATTCTTTTCTTTTTATCTGTATGAAGTTGGTAATTCGGATGGTTACTGTCAACAAGTCGAGCAAGAAGAGGCGTTTAAGGCGGAAGCTGATTCTTGTACTCTGTTCGTGTGGAAGTTCAGGATTTTGTTTTTGATTTTGTCTTTTATGCGGATGCTGTTTCTGGTTATCTGTTCGTGCGGAAGTTCAGGATTTTGTTTTTGATTTTGTCTTTTATGGATTGAGACAGCTGTGATATTCGGCTTCTGGTTTGTTTTTGTGTTGGTTTTCGGGATATGTTCATGTGTTAAGGTTGGTCAATCATTTTTGTGACTGTTGTAGCTTAGAAGGTTTTAGCTGTATTAGTGTTGTCGTGTAGGGTTTTTTCTGTTGTTTTTTGTTGTTTGCTTATGTTGGGGGTGGCGACCTGGTTGTATTGGTAACATCCCAAAAACCGGGTCAGTGACTAAAATGTAAAATTTGGAAACTTTGTGCTCAATTCTGAAATAAGCTAAAAGTTCAGGGACTTAAGTAAAGGATTTTGGATTAAATAGTAAAGATGGATTAACTAAAGGGGTAAAATAGTCTTTTCGTAGGAAAGATTTTTATCCTCTCTTTTTGAGTAATATAAACGTGAGAAATGTGAGAAACATCCAGAGTTCTCTTCTCCTTTCTTCTTCTTCATACTTGGGAGAGCAAGGCAAAGGTGAGAGTTTTATTAGTTGATTATTATTTGAATTTTAAGTTTGGTTTTGATCTTTAGTTGATGGATAAACTTAAGGAAAGCTTGGGTTACGGTAAAATCAAAGAATGGAGGGGTTAAGAGAGATTAAAGATTTGAAGTTTTTATATGAAATTTTGGAAAAGAATTGATAAGTAGAATTTGAAGTTAAATTTGACTTGTCAATAGTTAAATTAAGAGATTTGGAGTGATAGAAAGGAATTTAGAACATGTTGAAATTTGAGTATGATTACTGAATTTCATAAGAGGAAAGGTTTTTGAGAATTAAGATGGGATAAATGAGTACAAATGGGTTTAAGTATGTGTGTTTGAGTTTAGTATATAAAAGAGGTTGAAATAGGAAGTGTTTAAGTTGAAATGAAGTATTTTTCGTGCTGAAAATGTAATTCTGGGCTAGGGGAATCAATACCCATTTAAGGGGAACCGATACCCTTTCAAGCGAATAAAAATTTCCAGAATGTCATGGGGGAACCGATACCCCCACAGGAGGGAACCGATTCCCCCTAAAGGAAAATTGTAAATATTGGTTTAATAAGTTCGTTTAAGTTTCTAGTATCAAATTACAAGGTGTAGGTATCTAATAATTGCCTTAAAATGTATAATTATGTAGATTCAGAGCCTAAACGAGTTCCGGAATCATTGACAAGTAAGATCGATAAAAAGGGAAGATAAGAGATTGGAATGGACAAGTGAGGCCAGGTGAGTGCATATTAGTATTATATGATGTTAAATGAAAATAAGACTTGCGACAAATCTATTTTCCATAGTAAAATGCATGAATTCATAAATAGAAGTATATATATGTATGATTTATATGTGTTGACATGTTATTGTATATATGTATTATATGGTTGATGTGAATATGTGCTATGTTATGATGATATAAACCATATGATATGATAATAAATTATATGAATATAAAAGATAAGTTATGTGATAAGATCTTTGATATATACATATATATAAATGAAATATTACTACGTGAATACATGCTATGAGATAATTTAAGTAATAATATGAGAATATGGTAAAAATGAGTTTATGAGAAAGGATATGAACTAAGTAAGCAAAGGTTACATAAATAATATATTAACTAGGAGACTTGAACTTCAATGATATTATGAGCATATAAGATAAGATAGAGGAGAAAGATTCATATGCTTAAATAAAATTATGATACATTAGTTGTATAATAGAAGCTATGGAGTGATATGAAATGATTATAGGAGTTGTACGGAATTGAATTAAGTAAATAGATTAAATTGTATATAAAAGAAATAATAGAAGTAATATATTCAGGTTTATAAGTATAATGTAGGTTAGGTAATGCAAGTGCATACCAGGAAATACAGAATAAGGTAGATGATATGATGTAAATTATATTATGAATTAGTGATGTAGGAATGAGATATAAATATGCAATAAAACTTATGTGTTATATGATAAATATGAACATATGAGAATAAGAGATTAGATAAGTGACTTGGTGATAGAAGCTATATGATCATGGATTAGGTAAATATGAATAATTTAAGTGATATGTAACTATGAGTATTTGAGTATGTATCCATGTGAGGTGATTCATGAGGTTATATGAAATATCATACTATATGACTATGTGAGTATATGAAAAAGAATATAGGTACATGCAAGTTATATAGAAAGGAGTTGTGTAACCATGCCTGATATGTATTACATGTATAGGAATATAAGAGAATAAAACATAAACTATATGAAAAGATATGATTCATGTGATGTGAACCATGTGAACATATGAGAAAGTGTATAAGTTATATGTATTACATGATATATGTGATTTTAAAAGAAATGACATGAGCAATGTGATTACATGATTATAAGAGATCAGACATGTGATAAAAGATAATTAATATGCATGTGTGAATATGAAATGATATAAATGACAATGCCTATGTTGTGTGTCATGAGAGCTAGGGGTATAGTTGGCATGCCAAGAGTCGAGGGTCTACGCGGTCCTTCGGGATATATATATATTCTTTGGAACATATGTGAAGTCTTGTGAGACACATACTTGATCCCTAGTATATGTATATGATTCTTAAGGAATGATATGTGGTCCTTATGGACATTATTATATGGCACTACGGTGCAATTCTACGCGGCACTACGGTGCAATTCTACGTGGCACTTCGGTACATTTATATGAGCTGTAGTGACAGCATTAGTGCACAACCTCCATAGACTCACATATCTATAGTTCTCACATATGTACATGGGCTAATCAAGAGATATAAACAAATATATGTTAGTGATATGATAAATGTTATACAAATGATATGATGTTGTGTGTGTGTAGTGTTTGATTGAAAAGGTTAAGCATAAAAGTATGTGATTACATGATAAACTGCTAATGATGATTTATGTGCATGTATGTATTTATTGTTAATTAATCTGATATGATTTTACATGATATGAGGAAATCATGTAATTTGGTATAGCATGATAGAACAGAACATGCATGTATTGATATATGTTATAAAGTGCATTATAAGTTTTTATGCCTCACTAAGTCATAGACTTACCGTGTGATTGTTTCACACGTAGGTTACAGAAGCTATAAGAGAAGAGAAGAAGAGTAAGACATGTCAACATCTTTCTTACAAAATTTCAGATCAGAAAATAGATGATTTAAATGGTTTTGGTTATTTTGAATATAGTTGGCATGTACTAATTGATTGAGTTAAATATGCTCTGATCGATTTTGGTTTTTGTGGTCAATTTATGTAAATAAACCACTTTTACTTTAATGAAAGTTTTAAATTTTCTTGAATTTTGTCAAGAGTCAAAGTTTGAAAAGTCAATGTGACACCTCATACTCGGATCCGGGTCGGGTACGGGTTGGGGGTGTTACAGTATTCTTATGTTTCTTATGGTTAATGAAATCTTAAGGCACTCTTTTCCTCATTCCACTGATTAAGGAGCTTTTTTACAAGATCCTTTAATCAAGAAGGAGGTTTTTAACGAGGCCTGCAATTCTTATAAAAAAAATAAACAAGGTGAGACACTCAACCTTGAAAAGAAAGGCTCAAGGCCAAAATTTTACTAAATTCAAATCTCCACCTTGTTGTTATAGTGGTTTTCTACTATGGTTGTCTACATGCCACTTATCTAGTAGAAAACCAGCATAATCAGAGTATTTTCAGATGGTATGGTATACGCTCTATGCAGCCACAGAAAGCTGAAATTTCTTCGAACTTTTGTTCTTGTTTTTTTATAGTTCTAACTTAACTTGTGTGCACGTGTATATATACACATTTATCTAATGAAACCCCACTTCAGAGTTCTTCTGCAGTAAGAATATAGCCAGCATTAACTTCCGAAATCCCAATAATTTGGACCTCATAGGCTCACATTGTAAGCCCTCACTATGTCACACACAGATCTACTACAAAGGTTTAACAGTCCAATTAAAGCTTAAACGGGACAGAAGCTCAAACCACAGCACAATTTCATAAACTGTTTAAAATAAACTAATCTCCTCCACTAACAATATATTAGGCCCAGCAAACAAGCCCATGCCGAAAATAACTTGGTCATTTTGTTTAATTTTCCTTTTACTGGACAAATATGATCAGAGAAAAAAGACAAGGACCAAAACTAAGAAATTATTCTTCTCAATAACAAAGAAGGGAGATACAAAAATTAGCAAGTAGTTAATATCCTTTCAAATTCATCCTACAGAAGAGATGCAAGTAAACTACATGACATGAGGGTAATAAAGTAATCGGCTTATCCATGTAAAGAGAGTAAAGCTCTCACAATAACTTTACAACATATGAAAGAGAGCTTGTTAGAGATGCAGAATAAAAGGAAGATCATTTCTAATCATTTTCTAAGAGAGAGAAATATGGCACCGAAACATACTTATAAGCAAGCTCCTTCAAGCCTTCGTTCCAACCCTCAAGATGATGATCTAGAAGAGTACGTGTCAAAGCACTTATATGAAATACATTTGGTGACCCGAAGATCATCTCTAAAATTACAACACCCACGCTCCACATATCATATCTGTCAAAATAATTTCATAAGGCACTCTACTAATCTAATAAAAATAAAAGTTGCAGCATCTGAAATAGATTTCATAGTCTAGGAGAACTTTGGATATAGAAAAAAAATGATGAAAAGGGTCTTGACATACTTCAGAGTAGTGCTTGTTGGCCCCTGATACCAACTAGCATTAAGAAGAGCTTCAGGTGGGCTATAATCATGAGTTTGCTCAGATCTGGAAAGATAAGAGTAAATATCTGTCAAGTTCTTTTCCTCTTTGGTGCCAAAATCATGGATAAGGAAAAACCAAAAATATCTTAGATAGAGAGAAACCCACCTAGAAGGTCCAGCTGCTCCATATAAATGTTTCATTGTAAACCCATCTATTGAACTTCCAAAGTCAATGATGCGCCTAGTAATTGGGGAAAAAAGCAACATTAATAACATTCAGTTACTCAGATGGTTTTTAACGCACCTGTTTCTTACAAGGCCTAACCATTCTCTCCGGTTAATTCATTCTAAAATACTAAATTGTAAATTTTGAAATTACATTTTAGAATATCAAATTAGTGCCTTCAATGGTAGCAGCATTTTTTGAAATTCATATGCCATTATTTGTTAGAAAAGATTCACTAAAAGTATTCAAACCATAGGTGCATGCAAGCTAAAAGACAGACACATACAAACAAAGATCAAACTTGGCTCACAAGTTTCATTCATTGATTGACATGCAAAGCACTATAACTTAGTGTCAAGAAGTCTAAAAAATGACAGTAGTTTGGAACTATGTATAGTAACATAGAAAGTTTGAAGATGTCCACAGTGCAACTGAAAATTACAGCATATGCACTTTAACAAGAATAAGAAAGGAATAAGCTATAGCTCAAATTCACTTTGAGCATGCATGGTCTGGCAGAAGGACTGAAAAAGTAAGAAATCTTCATGAAATAAAAGAAATGAGGAGATCACTTCTAATATGGATAAACAATTTACTATAAGCATCACACCTTAAGGAATAAGGATTTTGGAGATTCAACTATTTCATACACAATTGAATGAGTAAAAGTGTAAAACATGCACACTAACTTCAAAGACAAGCAAATTAACATTTAAGACAATATTAATAAGATATGGACAATACATTCTAGTGGTAAAATTCTTATCTCCATTTGGAATTTCTCTCAAGCATCTTCCAGTCTTTTGGTCCTCAAAGCATATAACCATGTTCTCTTCCAATAGGAAATATGAAAAACATACAAAATTCAAGCTCCATTAATCAAGAAGGAGGTTTTTAATGAGGCCTTCTAATCTTATAAAAAAAAAAACATACAAATTAGCAGAAAGTCAGAATAATTTTCTAAAAGATAGGAAAACTAAAGAAACAAAGGGATCATTATGTATCAACTATCCCTATGAATTGCAGATACAGATATAGAATATTTGACAAGGCAACTCCTAAAAGTTTTCTGACGGTATTTAACTATGAACCCAATACTTATAGGCTTACAAAGACAAACAAATAGTGGAATTTATAAGGCACATGATTCCATATGCTATTTCTTTAACAAAATCATAGCATTCACAAAAGTTGATAGGATCTTTAGGCTAATTTAGCAAAATTCATTTACTTATTGTTAAATACAAATCCAGGAAGGATGGATTCCTCGTGCTTCCAATATGAGAATTATCAAGTTGATAAATAAAAAATTATTGTAGCTGTATCGATACAAAATAATAGCAGAAAAGAAAAAGTAAAATTTTATAGTGCTCCCAACGTATCAAATCCCTCCCATCCCCAATCCACCAGGCTGGTAGTCTATTTGTCAAGAGCAATGCCACTCACATGCACAGCTCTTACCAGAACCCCAATCCCTTAAGTAGCACACACACCATAGAATCATACTCCTAACCTACACCACACACAAATAATAATGGTAGACCCTAACATAATAGACTACTTTAAAAGCAAACCATCAAACTGAGGTACAATTTTACTTATGTAGCAAGTTCAACAGGAAACCCAAGAGCTGAGTGTATAATAGGGATTACCCAAATACAAGCATCTAAGCAATAGTAAAGTTTGGACTAGCAAAGGCAGTCAATAGATATATTTAGACAAATCCCAAGTTTTTATTTTAAAAAATTAACACAGCATAAACAATACTATGTAGAAGGCATTTCCATCCTCACCAGGTTTGATATCCCTGTGGGTAATATTGCGATCATGACAGGACTTTAGTGCTACCAACTGAGCAAATGAAAAGTGAAAACATTTAAAAGAAAGCGGTTAAAACAAGATGATGAAAATAGATACAATATATTATTTGGAACATGAGAAACTTCTAGAAAAAAACAAATAGAAACCACAATATGTTACTAAGCTGAAATTTCATACAAGTTCGTAAAAAATTGAATTACAGCACTGCTTACTAAGTCAAGCTAGTATATGAGGGTATAGCCAAAAGTGTTTGGAATAAGTAGAAGGATTCTAGGATCCTAAGACTCGACCAAAGTCTGTGACAAAAGAAGAAAGAGAGAGAACTTGACCTCCTCTTGTTTAAATGAAGGAAAAAGAATCAGAAATATGGGAGCTAGAAAAGAATTTAAAAAATGAAAAAGGAAGAGAACTGAATAAATCTTTTGAAAATGTAAGGAAAATATGTGCCGGCTTAAACTAGAGGTTACAGTGGGTATTCCTTTATCCTCTCAATTTAGTTTTCAAAATTTCTGCAGGATTTTGAATGAAAGGTAACACTCTTAAGTTGGTAGGTTATGAACAAAATCGTGACAATTCAAACTGAAATTGAAATCTGTAACTGAAGACGTACCAACTGCCATATAAGATTGCACATTTCTTCTCGTCCTTCTTCTGTTGTCTTCAACCAATGCCACCATTTTGAAGGACGCAATACCCGAACTTGTTTTACTTCTTCAACCTTTTCTTCAGTTGCATTATGTATGGCTTCTTCCATGGTATACATAAGTTTTGATAGTGACAAACCCTCATAATGAAATACAAGCCATATTTCATTAGACCGCGATTCAAATGACTCAACATATCTTGCAATATGATTCAAACCTTCTTCTGAAGCAGCCCCGTGCCATCCAGATTGGTTCAGATATATATTTTCAGAACTTGAACTGATTCCTAATTCTAAATTTGTATCTAATTTGTCATCTAAAACAGATTGTGGTTCCTCCACTAAAGGTTCTGATACTTTAGCCGATGGAGAGCTTCCAAGATTTCTAGAGGCATTTAAGAAGACTTCACCAAAGTACTTCTCCCGTAGACCACTTAAATAAACAGAAGTTCCTCTCTCCACCTGCGATAGGGAAGATAAGAACATAAGATGATCCAGACAACATAGTTACGAACAAGATAGAGATAATCACGAAGATAATGGCATTGTATGATGTGGGAAGAGAAAGACTTACCATTATGCGTTTTAGAATAAACAAGTTGCCATCGGAAGAACCAACATGACTATCATTACTAGATGTATTACAACATGAACTACTGCCACAGGTGTCAAAATGAATATCACCGAAGTTTGTATTCTTGTTTTCTTCACTCCAGCTTGAAGCATCAGTACCTTGATGACAATTCCAACTAGACGACAACCATACCTCTCCATAAGAACCACGACCAAATCTTTTCTTTAGTCTATACCTGATAAAAGAGAAGTACAAGTGTCATGATAGTGAAATGACAATGAACAACCACCATTTTACATTTTTTTAAAAACCCTTTGTTTTCTTATCGGAGAAAACCGAATCACTTTAACCATACAAAAATTGCAGTTCACTTCAACATTTATCTCATGTTTGTATTAAAGAGAACAAATTTTTTCTCTCTAGGGAAATAGGCCAAAAAGGGATTATAATTCCAACACTTGTGTTCTCCTAAAACATTTTAAGGAACATTAGGATACCCATTGCCCTAGCAGATGAAGGGTCTAGTGAACCTGTCAATGGTGTTTGTCTATCACCCTCTTATGAACAAAATAGTAGGTTCATTATATTATCCAGAAAAGAAATATTCCACATCTTTTTCAACCGTAAAAATGCCTCTAATTTAATGTAAACCAATATTATAATTCACAACTGTGAATAAACGATGTATACTTTGATATATATATATATATATATATATGAATATAAACATATCAATATATATTTATATTATTTTACTTATATTTACATTAATTAGGAGCAATTTTTCCAAAGATCACAACCAAGGAGGTGCTTGGAGATTATGAAGGTTTTGGAGATGATCAAAGCATTTAAACTCAATGACAGAGGAACAATGCCATGGAAAATAACCAAGGTGATGCCAAATGGATTAGTAAAGCATTAAGGAAAGAAAAGAATAAACCTAGAGTCTGGCATTGAATACTCCTCTGTCCCATAACTTGAACTAGTATCATGGAAGGGTATGGATTCAAGCAAACCAAGTAAACTAGTGAAGCCCTCAGGATTTGCACATTTATTGTTTGCTCCATCAATGGTCATCTCAAAGTTTAAGCATAAACTGCGGTCACTGTACAAATTTAGAGGTCCACCTGACAATTTAAAGAAAATTTATTGCAATGCTCTACACAATTAAGGTCAAGAACGTTAAGGAAGTCAATCTGCATCAATATGAATCAAACAGGAAACCCATAATGGATAAAAGGGCTAACAAACCAAGCCAGTCGGATAAAAAGAAATATAGAACTTTACATACCACAGGGTTGTCCAAAGGCATTAGGTAAAGCCTGGGGTAGGTCATGCACATGATCTTCCTTTTGAGTTTGCATTGTATCATCCACATAATCATCAAGATTCTCATGCAAGTAGAAACAACCATAACTGCTACGTTTTCCTTGAACCTATATGGTAAAACAGAAAAACAAAATCTCACAAAAATTTCCTACAATAGGGTGCCAGCTCCTACAATATTTTCCATCATCTCAATCAACTCGATAACTAAAAAGCAAATTTCCTTTATGCCACAGGCATAGCACAACTCAAAGTCTAACATGACATAACGACAACTAATTGGGAATTTGGTTTCAGTTCCAAACTTGTAAATTGTAAGGGAAATTTGAAAACATCTTTCAAGACACGACATCTCAAAGTCTAACATGACATAACAACAACTAACAGGGTGACTGTAAATGTTCTGCTCTGTTAAATTAAGTAATCAGGCTTACCAATAGCCTGTCAAATTTGGTAGTGATTAGATGAGAATGTTCCAACTGCAGTAGGTCAGAACTAGTTTCATCACCTGATCAAGATGGAAAACGAAACACTCCTATCAAAAATTTGAAATCATTATTTAAAAAATTTGAAATCATTATTTAAAAAATTAGCAAAAATCTTAAATAATAAATTCAAATAACCAAGATGCATCATCAAACTACAACCTACAGCTAAAGATGCCACACAATATAGCACATAAACAACATTTTTCAAGACATGACAAATGCACTTGAATGGGAGCATGCATGCCCATGTTACACTGATGCAATGGAAACTGGCATGAATATAAGACCTGGAACATTAGTAAGTGTGCAACTTGAGAAGGACATAAGTAAACAACAAATGCAAAGAAAGATTATAGTGTTACAATGAAATTTTCTCAACCAATGACGATGGCTATTTCAAACAAACATATGGCTCTCAGCTTAAAATGATTTGTGCAACATAAAGCTAAAAAAAAAAAAAGAACACAAAATTTGAGACAAGTTAGTTCTATCTTGAACCAATCAGTGATGGTCAAATTTATTAAACTTCCGTATGTTAAATTTCGTACAATTACAAGTGAATTCAATCAATGCCCATTTCATTAAAAAACATTCACAATAAAGTCAACCAAGAGATACTTACCTGATCGTTCATATATGAACTTTTGTAGTCCATTAGCTGGGAATTCCTTGTTCCCTTTTCTTCCACATCTTTCGGTCAGTAAGTTTTGAGATAAAAAAGCAGATCTTAATGGAACCACAACAGCTGCCATGTTGTCCATGCTGCCTCTCTCAAAAGCAGTATTCACTAAGCAATCAGCTAGTGAGAGTGAGCATGAAGAAGACAATTTTGATCCAACAGTATCATGATTCTTTACTTCCCATAGTAAATCACAAACATCCTGCAAGCTCAACTTTTCAAATATGCCATCAGAGCCAACCACCAGATAGCTATCATTAGTAGTCAGAGATTGCCAATCTGTCACCTCCGGTGCAGCAATAACACCATAACTGGAGAATCATGCACAGAATAATTTTAGTAGTAGACTTCTTGAAAATAAAGTGCTTTTCAAAATATAAGAAGCAAGATGGAAATTTTTTATTGGAATACAAACAGAACGTAGAAGTAGAGAAGAAAGCACTGACAGATAACTTAGAAAATGCTTGTACCAGATAAATAATAGATACTAAAAGAGCAATCTATCCCTAGTTCAATCAGAATATTTAATATTTTGTATTAATATGTGAATTTTAAAAGACTTTTTTTCTAAATAAAGCAAACCATTCTATATTATCTATAAACGGTACGACAAACTGCCAGGGAAGAGGGCATAGCTCGTTTCCTTATCTGCCCCACATGAAGCAGTATGAGATCCAATCACAATAAGCAAGATGGAAAATTGAACTTTTTTTTTATTGAAAAGACAAATGAATGTAAAAGTAAAACAGAAAGCACAAACACAAATTTAGAAAATGTTAGTACTATCTAAATAATAGATGCCAAATGATCAATACTTGTTTATTTCAAATTAAAACCTTTCCGATTTCTTAGTAACAAATGATCTTTTTGATTCTTTTAGGAAAATAAAAAAGAAAAGCACACAGTTCAATACTATCTTAAAACAGTATAACTGCCAGGGAAGATCATGGGGCTCCTTTCTTTACATGTTGTCACATGGAGCAGGGTAAGACCCACTGCCAACTATAATAAGCAAGATTAGTTTTTTTTTTAACAAACAAAATTGGAAGTAAAGCAGAAAGCACAGGCATGCATAACTATGAAAATGTTAGCACAAGCTAAATCAGAATATTTCCCATTCATAGTAATACATGAATATTAATAGCTTTCTAAGATAAAGCAAACCATTCTTTATGATCTAAAAAACAGTACAACGAACTCCCAGAGCAGGGGTTAGAGCTCCTTTCTTTATTTGCTCCTGCATGAAGTAGGGCAAGATGAGCCAAGATCTAATCACAAGTATGGAATGACATTAAAGCAGAACCTGCTGCTAGACATGCTTCATCAGGAATCACAATCACACACTTGAGGAAGGACATATCAAATCTATGCATTTCTACCAGGAAAAACAATACCATGAGATCACCCTCATTAAGCCAAAAAGGCCTAACTACTTTCACTTCTAATTTTACGCTACCCCACTGGACATGCTTTAACATATAAAACACCTTTTATGAACATGGAGCATCCATTGACTTAAGAGCATAACTCCATCCCTTCAAAAAGGTTACTAAGATGTCTGCAACTTGGATTTGGCGAGGTATTTTGAATAATTATGAGAAAGAGGATCGGATAGGGGAGTGCTTGAGGTCCAATTCGAAGATTCACGTGGGGAATGGTAGATCAATTGAATTTTGGAATGCTGATTGGGTCAATGGCTCTTCCTTAAAGAGTCAGTTCCCTAGGATATTCGCTCTATCGAACAATAAAAAAGGAAAAGTGGCAGATTTTTGAGTGCTTTGAAAATAATGGTTGGATTTGGAATATTCAGTTAAGGAGAAACTTATGTGACTGGGAATTGGATCAGTGGATGTCATTAATGCTTTTGATTGATAATATTCGCCTGACTGAATCAGTAGATGATTTCCTTGGGTGGTCGGGGAATGGTGATGGTTTGTTCTCGGTTAAGTCATGCAGAATTGCTCTTTCAAGCAGAAATGGAGATACTTTTCAGTGGAAGAAGTGGGTTTGGTCTGGTTTGGTACCTCCTAGAGTGGAAACTTCCTATGGCAGATTTCTCATAGGAAAGTGGCTGTTAGAGTGGAACTTAAGAAGAGAGGAGTTAATCTGGAAAATGTCCAGTGTCCATTATGTCATAACTTTGAGGAGTCAATTCAACATCTTTTTGTATCTTGTTCGGTTACAATGGAGCTGTGGAATAGATTCATTAATTTTTGGGATATTTCTACAGTTTTGCCCCAAGATCCGGTTTCACTACTTTGTTCTTGGTCCTATATTTGGGAGTACTCTACCATCTGGAAGTTTATTCCTGGAGTAGTTTTATGGTCACTATGGAAAGCGAGGAATTCGGTGGTATTTGAAAACTGGAATTTTGATAACTCATCTCTGTTCTTTATAACCAGATTTAGGCTGGTTAAATGGTTCTTAGCTAAATTTCCTCTTGTTAACATTCAGGTTGACTTATTAATAGGGGATCCATCGCTTGCGGACAAAATCCATACTAAGATATCTAAGAAGAAAAAGGTTATTTGTTGGTCTCCGCCCCCTCATGATTTCTTTAAATTCAATGTTGATGGGGCGGTGAGAGGGGATGGGCTGCAGGGAGGAATTGGAGGAGTTTTGAAAGATTTCAATTGCTCTATTTTAGCCTCTTTCTCTATGGCTGTGGGACCAGGCCCTCCTATGTTAGCTGAGTTAAAAGCTATTAAGCAGGGAATTGATGTATTTCTTTCATCGGAGTGGGCAACGAAGGGAAGACTTATCCTCGAGAGTGATTGCAGGAAAGCAGTGGATTGGATCTTGATACCTATTTTTGCCCCAACGTTCTGTAGCTCTTTGGTTGAGGAAATTGGGGCCTATGTATCTGCTAGGGGTTTTATTATTAATTGGATTCCAAGGAGTTGTAATTGGGAAGCAGACAAGTTAGCAAAAGAGGGGATTGGTTGAGGTGTTGTGTTCTGTTGTTGTAGTGTTATGTATTTTATCTAGGGAAGTTTATTATGTAAGTTGTATCTTATGTAATTATGGGTTATTAATAAAATGAGGTACACTTTTCCTCCTTCCGCTAGTTGCCTCTTTCACAAGAGCCAACTAAGAGGGAGGTTTTTAATGAGGCCTCCTATTCCTATCAAAAAAAAAATTCTGAATCATGCCATGCAAATCATAATATCAAAATTTCAGGAGGCTACAGTCAAAGAAACAAGATAAATGGAGGTAAGCTAGATGAACTCTCGGCAGAAACTGACTTCCAATTTAGAGCATCACCTTTTATATGATACATCACCAATAGAACGGGAAATCGCCAGCTGACCATTCACACGTGATACGCCACCCCAATCAACAACATAGCCGCCAGCTGCTTCAACTCGATACCTTTCATCATCTCGATCAGGGTGGTGATCCCTAGTTAGTTCTTTGACAATATAATGTACCAATCCATTGGACACAGCCAGTTTAAAGTTGGAATTTCTATAAGGTGAAACAACACCTTTGCGCCTCTGCTCCCTGTACAATTGTAACAAAGTTTCTGCAATATGCAATTTACAAGAGATAAATGAATGTCGCCATGTCGTCAATATGGTTAAAAAGAAGAAAAAAATTTAACTGTAATGCTCAACTCTGACATGCAACGGCATTATTTGGTAGACAAAGCTCAATGAGAAACACTTTCTAAAGGGAGGAAGAGAAAATATCCTTTAATTAGGCGATGGAGAATATTTGTGTCCAGGAAAATTTTAGGTCAATTCAAGTGACAAACAAAGATGCATCTGACCTTTAGCCTCAGAAGGAGAATGAAATTTTTCGGAGCACAGGATGGCTTTGGAATCTCCAATATTAGCAACTAAAATTTGTCTCTCTGCTATCAGTATAATTGTGGCTGTTGAACCCGAGGCAAGGTTATTTCTTGATGCTTCCTTCACGGATTAAAATCACATCAAAATAAAGAAAGTTTAACGCAAACAGATCTGAATATCGAAAGAGAAACTAATTAAGATACCTTAGAAAATGTTGCATCTATGTCATGAATTGCCCTTAACAAAGCTTCCTTCAATATATCCAAGTGAAAAGAATCGTCAAGATTTTCTGGGACAGAAAACTTAAATCTGAGCAAGCATTAATACTTTGGGTTAAGAATCGCCAATGGGAATCAACAGCTATATCTATTATACTAAAACAAGGAACTGAAAAATAATTTTGTTGGTCGCATATGGCATCACCTTTCAAAGTTCAAGCCATGCCTTCCAATCACTTCATCCCAATTAAGCACTTGGAAACCAATATCTCGTTCTGCTACATTTGGCAACCAACCTGACTGTTTCTTCAATACAAAGGAAAAAGTGGCATCCAAAAGGAAATATGTATGTAGAGCAAAATACTCCAGTAAAAGTTTTGAAGCCATCTCACTAGCTTCAGCACCATTATGTCCATCAAAAACTGCAACAACTCCGACTATAACTTCCTTAACCCCAATTTTGCCTACACTTTAAAAAAGAGCATGAGACTTAAGTTATTAAATCATTGATATGTACAAACTTCTTCAACCATCACAAAATCAGAAAAATACCAGATCATAAACTGCTTAGAAAGATCCTTTTGGAACAAAATTGCCTCCATAAGAACAAAAAGTCAGAATTAAACTTTGACATTAGTAGTCTAGTTAAGCATGGTATCTCTCCACTTTACAATTTAACCTTCTACGAGTTAATATCATCGGACACTAAATAGATTACAATCATTAGAATAGAGCTTAGCATTTATGACAAAACTTCATTGGGCTGGGAATGAGGAAGATGAAGGTACTTGGGACAGCATTGTACGGGCAGGGGTTGCTCCTCCACAGGTTGAAACTTTTGTCTGGCAGGCTGCTCATCAGAGAGTGGCAGTTAGAGAGGAATTGATAAAGCGAGGAGTAATAGGGATTGAAGACTCTTCTTGTCCGTTGTGTGGTAAGTGTGTGGAGTCGGTTTCTCATCTATTTGTACATTGTGAGGTTGTAAGGGGTTTGTGGAGCAGATTCTTGTCATCTTGGAATGTCTCTTTTGTGGCTCCTCAGACTCTGTTGGATTTCATTATTGTTTGAGATGATTTAGTTCCGAACTCCACCATTTGGAAGTTCATCCCTAGGGCGGTGTTGTGGTCGGTTTGGAAATGTAGAAATGAAATTAATTTTGGGAAAGGAAAGGTGGATGGTCTGTTATTGTTCTTCCTTGTTTGTTTTAGAATTGTATCATGGTTTGTCGCGAGGTTCAGAGATGTGCAGATCCACTTCGATTCTCTTGTGGGTGATGTTAGACTAGCTGATTTGGTGGTAAGAAGGAAGAGGGGTTGTATTTCTTCCTCTTGCTGGATTCCTCCCCCCTCAGGTTTTGTTAAATTAAATGTGGATGGTGCGATGTCTAAGGAGTGGGATAAAGGAGGCATAGGTGGCTTGATAAGGGATTCTGAAGGGCTGCAACATGGTTCATTTTCTGAGAGGATTGGGGGGTCTTCCGATTCTTGCAGAGTTATTGGCTATCAAAAGAGGGTTGTTGTTTATGGAGGAGAAAGCTTTGGTTTCATCTCTAAGGGTCATCCTTGAATCGGATTCCCTTACTGCTTTGAAATGGATTAAAAATCCGATTTTATGTACTCCTATGTTTCAGTCATTGGTGAAAGACATTGTTGCTTTAGTGGAGAGTAAAGATGTAATTGTTAGGCATATTTTGAAAACTGCTAATTGGAAAGAGGATTTATTAGCTAAAGAAGGTATAGGATGATTAATAGGGTATGGGTTAGGTTGTTCTGCTATGGAGTTGGTTATTTATGTTATTTGTTGGGTTTTTAAGTCTTATGTTGTAACAGAAGCTTCTTAGGATATGGCTTTGTATTATTCTGATATTAATAAATTTTTAGGCACTCTTTCTATCAAAAAAATCCCTATCTAGGATTCTTTTTACCAAATTAATAAGGTTTTTTAATAAGAATAACATAAAAAAAACCTAGAGTCTCATTATCAATTCGAAATTGGAACATAAATTTATCCTTTCCATTTCTTAAACTCTAGTTAATCAATTTTAGTCGTAAAAACAATTTCCCAATGAACACATCTTAATAAAAACAAAAAAACCACGACGCAGCGCAAATATAAACAGAAAGTAAGAAAGAGAGATACTCGGGAAGGGAATGTGGAGATCGAGCATGCAGAGAGTGCGATCTTCCATGTGCTCCCTTCGACCCTGAAGCATAGCCGATTGGCAATGTCCCATCGCGGGAGTGGCGGCGCGTTTACCAGAACCGTGATCGGGAATCTTCCAGCGAGGACATTTAGGAGATTGGAACACCGCGGGTGCACCGCCGTCTTTGTACACCGTCAAACAAGTGGAAGATTCTCCACCAGAACTTCTCGGGGAGAACACCAGGAATCCTAAAACGGCAAGCAACGATTGCTGCAGCGACATCATGAATTAACCGAATCTCTGATATTCCTTCATAAAACCGCGAAAATGAACAGTTGAAGAAATTCGAGAGGAGAAGGAAAGAAAGGAATTGAAGCCTAGCGCTCTTCGAGTATTAAATTACACTAATGATCATTAACCGCGTGTTTCTATTTTAGTTGAAATTTTCAAGACTGCTATACACTATTATTTTGGAGTAGTAAAAAATATTTTGGGTAAATCACATAGATGGTCCCCCAAACATGGGATCATATTTTATTGAGTCCTTCGACTATTAAAAAGTTATAAAATTATCGTTTGACTATAGGGTCCTGCTTTGTTGAGTCCCTCGACTATTAAAAATTATAAAATGGTCATTCGACTATTCACATATTCCAAACACATCCTTTTTCGTTAAAAATTTGACGGTTGTCTGAACTAGATGTTAATATGTTAACTGAGGTATGAAAGTTGTTTGAGATTCTGGGATAAGATTTTATTATATCTCAATCAACAGTTTAAAGTCCAACTTAGAGTGATATCAATTTTTTAACGAAAAAACATGAGTTTTGAACATATGAATAGTCATGTGACTATTTTATAACTTTTAATAATTGAGGGACAAAACAAAGCAACACCTTATAGTCGAATGATCGATTTGTAACTTTGAATAATTGAATGATTTAACAAAGCATTATCTTATAGTCGGGAGACCATTTGTGTACTTTACCCACATATTTAAAAAAAAAATAATTTAAAATTTAATTGTTTGAAATTATTGTTAAAAGTTATTTTGAAAAGATAAAAAGGTTTATTTCATATATAAAATAACTTGTTGGTTTGGGTATAAAATTGTTTTACAAACCTAAATTTATGTAAAATTAAATTTATTTTAGTTTATTTCTATTTAAATATGTATTTTTGGATTGCCAAAAATAATCTGAAACTATATCATCATTCATGTTGCTTGAAGCATATTTTATAGAATTTGACTCAATATTCATGTTTTCAATATGGAAATGATTTTTCTAATTGATTTTACGTCATATTTATCGTGTACAGTAATCAATGATTATAAATTATGGTCCGTTGTTAAATTATGAATAGTCTTTTGGATTTTTTAATAGTTATAGATAGTCAAATATATTTTCCTCTTAGCTTTAGAATTAAGATAAAATTACTAGAGTTTATAAATATGAACAATTAATTTTTTTAATTTATATATAATTAAATTTAAATTAATATGATTATATATATGAAGAGTTAAATTTATTAATTTATAATTAAATTTAAATTGATAGAATATACAAACGATGAATATTAAAATTACTATTATGTTAATTAAAAATAAAAAGCATAATCAATTTCACCAATGAGTTAATAACTGATCAATTTTATAAAATTGAAAACTAATAAGTTGAAAAAAGTAGTTTAGTAACTAAAATAGATACATGCTAATAGCTGGATGACCTGTTGTGTAGTTTACTCATAAATATCTGATACTATGGCTTCATAGTTTTTGGGTAAACTACATTTTTAGTACTTAGACTTTCATTCATCACTCAACTATCTTCTCACTCCTATTTTGATCATTGAAGTTTAATTTTTTTAAATTTAATTACATAACTTTCAAATTACTCATAATTTAATCACTCTAACTTTCAAATTTCATTTTTTATTTTAATTATATATTAATAAATAATAATAATAAATGTCACGTCACAAAAATTATTAATAAAATAAATTAAAGTTATTAAAACATAAGCAATTTAAAAGTTGAGTAGTTAAATTAAAAAAATTTAAACTTTAGTAACCAAAATAAGAGTGAGAAGATAATTAACTGATGGATGATGTAATTTACTCATAGAAAATGTCACGTGCAATATTTCCGTTAAATTTTTCATAACATGATACTAAAATAAAATAAAAAATAAACATTAGGTATTATTTTGAAATAAATTAAAGTTTAAGTGTTAAAATGAAATAAATCTGATAATTTAAGTATAAAACTGAATGGATTAACTTATTTTTAAGAGTTTAATCAACTTCTATTTGTTACTTTGTCTCTTAATTTTTTAAAATATTTGATTTTTTAAACAATTAATTTTATTATCGAATTATCATATAGACTCTTTTAGATTAAAAAAAATAGTCGAATCAGATTGAACTACATGACATCCCTGACAAAAAATATAATTTTAATAAAACTAGTAAATGACATTTCAAGCTATTAAGATTTCCTTTTTTGTTCAATATAGTCCCTAAAATTTATTTAATCTTAAATTAATCATTATTTGTTTCTAAATTTTATAATCTTGTTCAATATTTATTATTATCAATAATATCCCTTTTATTCTATTAATCTATTTTTTATTTATGTTTTTAAGTCAATAGTTTTACTTTTTTTATATAAAATACGTGGCATGTGACTTTTTTAATTAAACAAAAAATTTAAAAACATTATAATATTATCAACAAATTATTATTTACATCACTTAACTAAAAAATTAATTAAATAAAATCATAGTTTATCTCGTTCAATTTCAATCAACCATAGTTTCTTCGTAGTTCCTTATCCCCTTTTTCACGATACTTATTTCACCATCTCCCCCATTCAATCATAGTTTCTTCGTTATCCCTAAATTACAAAACTCCCAGACATAACCATAGCTTATCCCATCAAATCTAATTCAATATTGGTTTGTGCGGTGGTGAAAAATGGAGGTCTAGATTGAAATTCAACTGGTAGTAAGATTTATTTGTTGGTGGAGTAAATACTAAGAAGTGATTTTGTTGATGAAAATTCATCATATAGAAGTAGACTTAGCTCAATTAGTGAAGCAAATACATATCATAGTGGCAATGTTGATGTGAATCAATCTTATAGAGGAGAAAATATTTAGGGTAGGGGTGGAGTAAATTCAAAAATGTTAGTGCTAAAATTACAATTTTTTTATAGTTTGCTTATCAAAGTTAAAAATACAATTAAATTTTAATGACTTAACGGTGTAGTTTGCCATTTAAAAAAATAAAAAATATATAGGGTAAACTCACATTTAGTATATTAGTTATCACTTTTATTCTGTTTTGGTCAGCCAACTGTTTTATGTTTCAAAATCATACTTAATATTACATTCTACTTTTATCTTGATTAGGGATGTAAACGAGCCGATTCGAGCTCGAGTATTGCTAAGCTCGACTCGAACTCGAAAAGTTTAAAATTAGACTCGACTCGAAAACTCGTGAGCTAAAAATTATCAAGCTCAGCTCGAACTCGAAATATATTATAGAAACTCGACTCGAACTCGAAATATATTATTGAAACTCGACTCGAACTCGAAAATGCTCGAGCTCAAAAAAAATCAGGAGCTCGATTGGAGCTCAATTTTGAGCTCGATTGAAGCTCGAACTCGATTCAAGCTCAAACTCGAATTTGAACCCACAAAAATCTTATATTACATTTAAAGGTATATTTAAAAAATATATAATAATTATCAATAATGTATTTTTAATATTGTAATTTTAAAAAATCTAAAATTATAATATAACATTTTTTCGAGTAGCTAGCGAGTTTTTTGAGTCGAGTATTAAGTAGCTCGTTTTAGCTCGTTAAGAATTCGAGTCGAGTTCATTTGATTCAAGTGTTGATCGAGCTTTGACCGAGTCGATCTCGAGTAGCTCACGATCTGTCTCGTCTCATTTACAGCCCTAATCTTGATACCCCACAGTTTAAAATTAATGGTGATACTAACATGTCATCATAAGGCAATCCACATTATCATTGATTTTTTTTAAATCATACATCAGTGGTTATGTAAGCTTTTTAATGATATGATACTAAAATTAAACCAAAACATAACATTAAGTATGATTTTGAAACAAAAATAGTTATATGACCAAAACCGAACAAAAATGATAGTTAAGATACTAAATATGTAGTTTACTCTAAACTATATTTACAAATAATAATATAGTGAATAAGCGGATTATAACCCGCGTTTATTTATCTTAACGAAAGTCCCGTTTGATTGATAGCTCTCCTCTTTTTCAGGTTTCGCAAAAGGAGAAACAGGAAAAAGAAAAAGAAAAAGAAAAAAATGTAATTTTTTTTCTTAAAAAATAAAAAAATACAAAGAATTAAGATGAGAAAATGGAAAACAGAAAAAAGGAAGGGAAAATAACCAAGGACAGATTAATCGCAGATCCCTTTCCACTTTCAAGCTTCATCCAAACTCCGATCAATCCGTTAATCACACAATTTTTTTGTCAGCTGTGTTAACGGAATTTTATTTTAAATTTTGAATTTATTTTCATTTCCAATTCGATGATTTGATTTGATTTGATTTTTTTTGGTTGTGGCATTGCTGCAATTATTTTGTTGTTTGGAAGAATCGAAGAGGAGGTGGAATCGGATCCTAGACGAGGTTTCTAGAAGTTAAGGATCTGCCGATCCGGTGCTTGCGGCCGCGGCGGATTCGACAACGTGGACGCATGTAAATGTTTCAGTCGAGAAAGGGAAAACGATGAAATGGACATCATTGCTACAGGACATTAAAGGAAAGGTGGGTTTAACTCACAGTTCTGCTGCTGCTGCTTCGCCTGCTACAAGCGCTTCTTCTTCTTCATCATCCTCTTCTTCCAAACGAGATGCCCGTGCTTATCTCTTCGACTACATTCCCTCTCCTTCGAGGTTCAATTAATATTTTTCATTCTTTAATGTTATTTTTAATATTTATTTTGTTTTTTCGTTGCCTGCATTTCCACAATTTAATGGTGATTAAATTTACGAGATGAACTGTTAGAATCATAATGGCGCGCTTTATTTATTTCCTTATTTATTTTTAAAATTCTTCTATCTTCGTTACTCGTCTTGATTTTTAGTTTGTTTTCGTGAATTACAAGCATAACTTGAGCTATAGTTCCTGCCTTTCTCTATTCATTTATGTTTGTGATAAAATTAGCTCTGAGATGTCCTTAAGCATTTGCTACATTTTTTTACAAGAAATAATATTTGAATTTTTTAAATTTAGTCACATATAGCTTTTTGATTCTGTTTGATGTACTATTATGCATGAAGTTAATTTTAAGTTGGCAATGTGCAGTCTTGAGGCAAGCATTGGTCATTGTCTGCTTGTGTCTATTAGTATAAGGTAGTGCAATTAGGGGTAAATCAAGTCAGGTTCGGTCTGGATTGCTTTTTCCACTAAAAGATTGTAAGTGAAGAAAGCATAGAAGCAAACAGAACTGAAAAGAAGAGAAAAAAGACGAGTGAAAAATGACCCTATAGGAGTCTTTGAACTTTGAAGCTACTTATGGGTTCTATTAGCAAATTGAGTTGATAAGTGTGTTGTAATGGATGACTGGACTGGAATTTTGGTGAGGATCTTATCAGCGAAAATACAAAGCGCAATGGGAATTCAGTTAGCAATATTGAAAATGGGATGATGGCCTGCAATAGGAATAATGCTAACTCTCTATCAGTTGGGTAGGATCTTTTCATCTTTTGATTTCTGGAAATCTGAAGTTCCGTTGCATCTTTGCTTTATTTCTTTTGTATAAATGTTTCACTTCTGAAATCAGAAATCCATGTTCTTGAACTTCCTTTCATGGAAATTTTGGGATAAGGTTGGGTGGGATAAGGTTGGGTATTGATCTAAATGGGAGGTCATTTTGAAACCAGTATTAGGTGTGGGCTTTTGTTTACTGCTTGGAATAGTGTGGATGATTGGTTTAGTGGTTTGTAGTTGTTTTGTTTTCTGAAATTTTGTTTGGATTGTAATAAATAGCACATTAATACCATATGTAATGGGGATAAAAATGTTGATATGCTCTTCTGTTACAATTAAGTCCTGCAGTTTCCCCATGTTCTCCCTGCTCTCTTTTTTAATGGAAAATGCGTGACAGTGCTACACCCTTTTCTTTGCTATTGCTTCTTGTTCTCTTTCAAGTTGGTAGTCGAAGAAAATGCAATACTAATGCATTTTTGTTAATCCTGTTGGGCCAATGTGTTGAATATGAGATTGTGCAAAGTGTCTGGCGCTTAAATTAGGTTTCAATTTTAACTTGTAGTTACTGTACTATACCTTTATTTTTGTTGTTATGCAGTATCTTATCATATGGTTATACTCATAATTCCCTTATGTTTTTTGTTATTTAAGTGACTAGATTTAATTTTTACGTTTTCTTTTATCTATTTATTTAAAATAAATTCTAAGCCTAAAATCCGTGGCAAAGTGCCTTATTTTCTCTGCTTCCCCTTCTTCTGCTCTAAGTATGTATGTAACCTTGCGTTTTGAACGACTCTACTTCTATTTCTTCTTGTGAATGCAGAGATAAACATGAATTGGAATTGGATTTCAAGAGATTTTGGGAAGAGTTCCGATCATCGAATTCTGAAAAGGTAGTTTCTCATCTATATTTTAATTCATGCACTCTTTTATGTACCATATTGATTTTCTCTTATGTGTCTGTATTGTCTTTGCAGGAGAAAGAAGCGGCCTTGAATTTAACTGTAGATGCCTTTTCTAGATTGGTCAAGCAGCATGCTAATGTAGCTCATTTAGTCACCCAGTATGAACACTGATCCTCAGTTCTATTTTCTTAATATTACATAGTTTATTTTTTTCTGAAATATTTTTGTTGGGATTTTCACTCTTTTCTGATATAAGCAAGAATTTCTGTATCCTTTCATGTTGTCTGAGTTGTTTAGAAACTCTACTTCAGTAATATTATAATTTTCCAATCTGCCATTAGTACTTTTCTTGATGTTTAGTCATACTTTTTTATTCATTCTTGTAATCTTATTGTGACTTTATCTGGTTTCCATTGGAATTATGTTGTCTTTCTATTATCTTCTATGGTTTATATTTATGGCGATGTTGGCTTTAATTTTTAGCCAAGATCCATACCATGCAATTTAATGCTAATTTTGACTATTTAAACTATACAGATTCTGGCTGGTTGATAACATTTTCTTCTTGCAACCATTAACTTCTCATGAGGATTGTTGCAATTAAAGTTGGTTCTTTAAATATTGAAGTTTTCACCAGCCTTTGCTTTAAATCTCATAAAGTTGTCAGTTAATCAATTTATTTGTGCCATTTGAACTATTTATCATTTTTGAATGAATCAGTTTGATCATTCCCGTGCTTACTGGTTGCTGTATATTTATTAGCTCAGTACTTGCTGGTTTCTGTCTTTCTGCAACTTGAGCTTGTTGATTAATATTAAGAGCTTTTTTTAATTACAGGTTAGTAGAAACACATATATTCTCCTTTGTTGTGGGAAGAGCATTTGTAACAGATATTGAAAAGTTAAAAATTAGCAGCAAAACAAGATCTTTGGATTTACCAAATGTTTTACAATTTTTCTCTGAAGTCAACAAGGTTTGCATCTGGGATCCATGTGCTTTATGTCTCAATATTTGTTACCATATTGTTTGTGGATTCTTTTTAGAGTTACAGTCATGTGTGCTGATCTGCAGGGTGGCTTCTGTCCAGGTTCAAATTTGTTGACTACTATTAAATTCCTTGTGTCGGGGGTATATCTCGTTGATCTTTAATTGTTTAATTGATGTTATATAGATGGAATCATGTCATTGTATTTCTTTCTTGCAACAAGTTTGTCTTATTTCTCCCACCCCAAGATAGATACTATGACCTGTGTATATATATATATATATATATATATATATATATAAAAGAAAATGAGGTCTCATTAAAACCCCCCTTCATTCCGTCGAAATGCCAAAAGGGTATCTCAACGAACATTGGAAGGAGGAAAAGAGTACCTCAAAATTTTATTAAATAAAACCTTAGTACAACCTAGATTCAAAATAAAACACCCAAGTACAGCAAAGAGTACAGGCAGCCAAGTTAGGAACAAATACCAACTCAACAACAAAGACAAACAACAAAACCAAAACAGCAGTTTAGTCTAACAATCACATTGCGGTCCAACACAATCGAAACGACTCTTTCACTAGAGGCTCAAACAAGGCAGGACAAGAGCCTGGATTTTTAGTCCAATCCAAAGCGTTAGCACAATCTTTTTCCAAAATTAGGCCACCCTTTGAACCCCATTCTGATTTTATAAAGAGTACCAGACTGGTTTTAATAGCCAATAGGCCCTATAGCCTTCGAGTAGGACCCAAGACAGATATGATCAGAGTCCCGAAGTAAGCCACCCACCCTAACACTTTGCCAATCTCTACTCACCGCACCATCAACATTGACTTTGAAGAAACTATGGGGCAGGGTAGACCGAGGGGGAAGAAAGGGCCATCTTCTTTCCAAATTTGTAGGAATCAACCAAAGAAGGATCCCCAACAAGGTAGTCAAAAGGGATCGGCAAGTTAGGAAATTTAGCAGCGAACCATGCTGCCAATTATACCTAGTGAGGAAAAATAGTTGGGTTTGATTTGGCTTCCCTTTCTCAAAAATAATATTATTCCTGCATTTCCAAAGTGACCACAAGACAACCCCTGGAATAAGATCCCACATATTGGATCTGGGAAAAAGATTCAACCAAGCCGTAATGAAAGCTGGTAGATTGACTTGAAGGACCGAGGATAAATTCCATAAACGAAGGAACCGATGCCATAAGTCCCAAGCAACACTGCTTGAAATAAATAAATGGGAAACTGTCTCTGAAGCAAGCCCGCATAAAGGACAAGAGATATCCTCAATCCCACTGACTCCACGTTTTAGGAGCTCAGATTTAACTGCCACTGTTTGGTGAATAACCTGCCACATAAAAGTCTCCACTTTTGGAGGAGTTAACCCACGCCGAACGTAACTCACCCATTTGGAATCAACTTCTGCACTTCCAGCCAAGAGCTTGATGCACGATTTAACCGAATAAGAGCCCTCGCCACTACCTGTTCATACAAAGCAATCTTCCACAAACTGCCCGCGATTAAAATCACTGAGCATTGACATTAATTTCAACCATTGATCCAATTCCCAATCTATCAAATCTCTTCTTAATTGGATGTTCCAGCACCAACCCGAGGAAGAAGGTGATCTAAATTCAACAATTTTCCTCCTTTATTGACAGCAAGGGCAAACAACCTCGGAAACTTATTTTTTTAAAGGTACACCACCTATCCAAGGATCCTGCCAAAATAGAATGGATTCCCCATTGCCAACTTAGAGTTGGAAGTGATTACGAATGCATACACCCACATTATCGGCCTTCAGGAAGTTGTTCACCACTCCTTTCCATAGCCACGATGCTTTTGGAGACCGAGCATAATCGAACGAAATAGTTTTATCTTCTAAATTATATTTACTGCACACCACCCTCTTCGACCATGTGTCCTTTTCATTTGCAAACTTCTAAGCCCATTTCCCCAAGAGTGCCCGATTCATAAGATAAAGGTTAGGAATTCCCAAACCACCATAGTCCTTCGGTTGAGAAACTGTCGACCATTTAACCCAATGAATCCGATTCTTTTCAACCGAGCCTCCCCAAAGAAACATAGCCATGATAGAGTTTAATTTCCTCAGAACACACAAAGGCATTCTGAAAGATGACAAGAAATAGATCGGCAAAGAGCTTAGCACCAACTTTACAAGCACAACTTTTCCTACTAGAGACAGTGAAGAAGCTTTCCAACCCGCCAATTTCTTGTAGACTCTTTGAATCACGGGTCCCAAAGTTGGATCGAATTCTTCTTCGCCCCAAGAAGAAGTCTAAGAGACTCTGCAGGGAAATCTCCTACCACACAACCAATAGAGCCTGCCCATCCTCTAAGCTCAGCTTCATCCACGTTAATACCGAAAAGTCTGCTCTTGGATAGGTTCAGTTGGAGCCTAGACATAAGTTCGAAGATAAGTAACACACTTTTCACATTTTTCAGTTGGCCAAGGGAGGCGTTGCAAAAAACCAGCAAGTCATTACTTTTGAATTTTTTAGTGATGTGATTAATTTGGAATGGTACTTTTATAATTTTACATCACATTTGGCATCCTAAAATATGTTCTTTCTGATTTTAAACTCCATTAATTGTTATTTTTTGTTCCCGTTGTTTGCAGCCTACTGATAAACAGTCTCTCCTTGATTCTGGGATATTCTGTTGTCTTATACATGTATTGAATGCAATTTTGAGTCCTGATGAAGCCAATCAAAGGCTAAATATTACTGATTCTGAGGAATCAATGCTAGCTGAAAATGATTCAGTTGTTGACGTTTGGCAAGTCCGTCGACTTGAGGTAGTTTTCTTTCTGGCTTCCTTGAACTTCTAATTGTTTTCTACGTATGTTGACTGTATATTTATGTGTGTGTTCGGACATGCATGTTAATGTTTCTCTGTTCTTATTGCTTAACATTAAGGGCCAGTTTGGCATTGCTGTGGAGAAGCACTTTTAGCTAAAAATTGCGTTTTGGAAGCAGAAGCTATACCAAACGGCTAAAAGTTAAAAGGATAAATGTGTTTGAAACGGTGGTTTTAAACCAACCGCAAAAATTAGAAAATCCAGCTTTTCCATTTCCAAATTGCATTTGAAAGCATATTTATGTTTTTATCCTTATGTCACGTGGGCTCCAATCATTTGCAATGTCTAAAATGGTCATTTACCTACTTAAAAGCACTTTTTAACGGTAATCCAAAACACTCAAAATTTTAAACTAAACAAACAAAAGTAATTTTAAAAGTCTTTTTCATCACACTTTTCAAAAGCTATACCAAACTGGTCCTAAACAAAAGAAGAAATATTTTTGCACACTATTCACCTATTTTTATTCATTTATGACTATTTAAAACTTCTAAAATTCCAATTAATTAGACATTGTTTCTTTCCCATTTGGGGATCTCAACCTTATTTCTATCTATTGGACTTTACTGTACACAAGTCGAATTTTATGTGGACTTATGAACTTATTGCTACTCATTCAGGTAGAAGGAAGTGTGGTGCATATTATGAAAGCATTAGCAAGCCATCCCTCAGGAGCACAGAGTTTGATTGAGGATGATTCTCTGATGTTGCTATTTCAGATGGTTGCCAGTGGAGCTGTAACTGTCTTCTCTAGGTATAAGGAAGGTCTTGCTTCACTGCACACCATACAACTTCATAGACATGCTATGCAGGTAACTTGTTTTTTTTATAGAAGATTAGGCCTCATTTATCTGTTAGATTTTGCTAAACAAATGTCAATTTCCAGCTTGAAGGAGGCTCGTATGAGCTTCATGTGTCATTTATTAACTATTCTCTTCATTGGCCTTTTCTTCTAGATCCTTGGACTTCTTTTGGTCAATGATAATGGAAGCACTGCCAAGTACATACGCAAGCACCATCTGGTATGTATTCATAGATAATTTTAAGGGCACATATGAAAAGCATCGCTGCTTGCTGTATGCCTTTCTTTTTTTTTATATCAATAGATGGCCTCATTAAAAACCTCCCTCTTAGAGGTCCTTTACCATAGGGTAAGAACCAACTAGCGGAAGGAGGAAAAGAGTGCCAGACTTTATTGATTGCAAATGAATTACATAAGACTTAAAAAGTCCTACAAGATACATAAAACTTAAACACACTGCTAAAAATCCTAACTGTTGAACGCCCCAACTCGCTGAAACAACAATTACCATCACCCAATCCCCTCCTTTTCTAGCTTATCAGACTCACAATTATAGCACCTCGGAATCCACCTCACAATAATCTCGTACACAGAAATTGTAGAAGCTATCTCCTTAACTAGATTAGTAAGAAAAGTAGGGACAGTTGCTTGATCTTTCAACCATTTCACTGCTAGTTTACAATCAGATTCCACAATTAACCTTCTCTTCGGTGCCCATTCTGAAGAAACAATAAATCAATTCCTTTCTTGATTGCTTTCAACTCTGCTAAGATGATAGGAGTAGGACCAACATTTTCTGAAAAAGAAATCATCTTTGTCCGATTCCAGTCTCTGAGAATACCCCCAATTCCAGCAATTCTCCCAACAATACTAACAGCTCCATCCACATTCATTTTATAAAAGTCAGTTGGAGGAGGACTCCAACAAACCACCGGCCTGTTCAAATCTTTAATAACAGAACAAATGTCTGCCAATGAAGGATCAACAATTAACGAATCCACCTGAATAGAGCCATTTGGATACTTTGCTAAGAACCATTTCGCTAACCTTAGCCTAACCATGAAAAACAGAGCGAATCTGTCCAGTTTTCCTCCATCAAAGATGATTTCATTTCTAAATTTCCATAAAGACCATAGGACTGCCGCTGGAATGAACTTCCACATGGCAGAATAATGCATCAAATCTGTCCAAGAGCTAAGGAGGGAGGGAGGATCAGAAGATAAAACTAACGAAATACCCCAAAAGCCGATAATTTTGTTCCACAGTTCCCACGAAACTTGACAAGAAATAAAAAGATGTTGAACAGATTCTTCACAAAGATTGCAGAGAGGGCATAAAATATCATCCCCTTAGGGAACCCCCCGTTTCTTCAACTCCACTCTCACCGGTACTTTTTTATGGGATACTTGCCATAGGAAAGCCTCAACTCTAGGAGGAACTAAACCCATCCAAACATATTTGTTCCATAGAAATGAATTTTCATTAGAATAGGAAAAAGACTTCCTACAAGCTTTAACCGAAAACAACTCCTCCCCCACTCCATCCCATAGCAAACAGTCCTCCAAAGATTCGGTTAATTTAATGTCTTTGAGTCTATCCAATAGCTCCACCAACTGAACCACTTCCCAGTCACAGAGATTCCTCCTCGTTTTAATATTCCACTCCCATCCATTCGAATCGAAGCTCCCAAAATCAGCAACCATGCCCCATTGAATTGGAGAAAGAGCAAAAATCCTAGGGAAAAGCGTTTTCAAAGGAAAATCCCCTAACCAAGTATCATTCCAAAAGGAGATCGATTTGCCATTCCCTACTTGTAACTTCGCATGGGCTCTAAGGCTACCTCCCACAACATCATCTTTGGTGAAGTTATTAACAATTCCCCTCCAAATCCAAGAGTCCTTATGGGATAGGACCTTGGTAATATCCATGGAATTGCAACTAACATCATGTTTGGTGCATATGAAACTCTTCCACAATGAATTTTTCTCATTAGCAAACTTCCACGCCCACTTTCCCAACAAGGCTCGGTTAGAATACTTCAAGTCGTTAACTCTCAAACCTCCACAACTCAAAGGATTGCAAATCTTGTCCCAACTAACCCAGTGCATTTTCTTCTTCTCGACCCCATCACCCCATAAAAAAGCCGCCATCTAAAACATGGCAGTACTGATAGTTCTGGGAACATGGAGGACAATTAAGGTGAGACTTTCAATTCATCTTTAGCATCATGTAGATCACGGGGATTGTGTAGGTCAAGTGGTTGAGACTTTGTTAGGTAGTGGAATCGTATAAGTTCCCTTTGAGCAAATAGAGACCACCACACAATTCAGCACTGCCAATCACTTTCCTTGAATCCATTGGCCGAAATTCACAATGGTTTAACTGAAATTTAGTGACACAATGCAAATCACTAGATAACTTACTAACAAAAATCAAATTACAAGTTAATTTAGGAACATAAAAGACAGGATAAAAGGAGGTTCTTTGTCAATTGAACTGATCCAATCTCTTCCACTCTAAAGAGTGATCCATCTGTTGTTCGAACAGTTGAGAGACTTGATTGTGGGCTGAATTTGTGAAAAGCACTAAGATCCATTGTCATGTGATTTGAAGCTCCAGAATTTATTATCCAAGATCTCAATCTACTGTTTTTTTTGCAACATTTGCAAAAGAAATAATACTTTGATGTACCAGTATACTAGTATTCTGTTCAGTGGTGGGTGACATCTGCCTATGTAATTTTTTCTGTGCTTTAATCTGCTCCTTATTAAAGGGATTGTTCTCATGGCTGTACTGGCAACATTTACATAGATGTCCTTGACCTGACGTGTTCGATGGGGTTTCCCTTTAGCTGGTTTTGCACGTATCTTCCTGCAATGTTCCCTCAAATGGCCAAGTTTCCTGCAATGATTATAGCACCCCCCAACCCGTACCCAACTCGGATACGAGTCTGAGGTGTCACATTGACTTCTCAAAACATTTACTTTTACTAATACCCAAGATTCAGTTTGATATTTCTAATAAAACCATTTACTTTCTATGATATAAAACATATGGTTTTACAAAACTGATCAGAGCGTATCTAATACAAATCTTTTAACTACATGCCAACTAGATTCTATATGACAAACTACATGTTATTCATTTATGTTCTGATCTGACCTTCAGTAAGGAGAAACTAACCTGTCTTGCTCCTCTTAGCTTCTTTTCTTGCTTTCCGGAACCTACGTGTGAAACACTCACACGCTAAGTCATAGACTTAGTGAGACATATAAATCCATATGTAAATTATCAAATGCATGTACATATCATGTAATACAACGTCATACTTGTATACATACTTTTTCATGTAACAATTACATACACACATGCATGTCATTATTTATATTTCCTCATACTCTTATATGATTATCCTTTCTATCTCTTATTCATATGATCTCTTATTTTCATATTCTATATCTTATAACATGTTCTTACATCATCATATGAGTCATTGATATTCATTCATATATATATTAACATATATTCATGTACATCACATAACAAATGCCATAACCCATAACACATACACACATTCACATATATCCTCATATAAAACATGTGGGGTCTAAGAGAAACTCTATTGCAATGTGGGAGCCAATCGTGCAGAATTTCTATAATAGGTTGTCTGGTTGGAAGGCAAATTCTCTAGCATTAGCAGGGAGGGTGGTGTTGATCAAATCTATTTTGTGCTCTCTCCCCACTTATTTACTTTCTTTATTTCGAATTCCAGCTTCGGGTGCTGCAGAAATTAAATTCTATAATGGCTGCCTTTTTATGGGGGGGGTCGACTGATAAAAAAAACATACATTGGGTGAACTGGGGATTGGTCAGCAAACCGAGAAGGTTGGGGGGTCTTGGGATCCCGAACTTAGCTATATTGAATAGAGCATTGTTGGGTAAATGGGTATGGAAGTTTGCCTCTGAAAAGGATTCTTGGTGGAAGAGAGTTTTTTGCTGTGTGAATAATTTGGACCTGAACTCCAAAATGGTAGAGAGTTCTTTGACTGCTCGTGCATCTTGGATTTGGAGAGGAGTGATTAAGAACTTCTTTTCCAATGATGAGTTTGGTGACTGCATTAGGAGTAATTTACGGTAGAAAACTGGAAATGGCCGTTCTGTGGTATTTTGGAATGATGTTTGGTTGGGAGAAGTCCCACTTAAAGTTCTGTTCCCTAGACTATATGCTCTTTCAACGAATAAAGAGGGGAAAGTAGTGGAGTTTAGGGAGGAACAGGTTGCAGGATGGGTGTGGAATATTCAATACAGAAGGAATCTGGCGGATTGGGAGATTGACCAATGGTTGCATCTGATTTCTATGCTGAATAACACCTCTTTGTCTCATGATGAGGAAGATTGCTGGATTTGGTTAGGGAATGGAGAGGGTTGTTTCACTACGAATTCTTGTATAAAAATTTTCCATGGCGCGGAAGGTACTAAGGGAATCAAGATGTTTGGGACAGGAAAATTTGGGTAGGGATAGCCCCTCCTCGTGTTGAAACCTTCTTATGGCAAGTAGTTCATCTGAGAGTGGCGGTTAAGGAGGAAACTGTTTAAGCGTGGTGTGGCTGGAATTGAAGATTCCTTATGTCCGTTGTGTGGCAGATTCGGGGAAACTGTTTCTCATCTTTTTCTGCATTGTGAGGTTGCTTGGGGACTGTGGGCCAGATTTTTGAATATGTGGGATGTTGCTTGGGTGATTCCTAATTATCCCTTAGATTGTATCACTCAGTGGGATGAGCTTCTTCCGAACTCTAGTATTTGGAAATTCATTCCAAGGGCAGTCTTGTGGACGGTGTGGAAAATCAGGAACGAGGTTATTTTTAAGAATGAGAAGCTAGATGTGGTGTGTTGTTTTTTATTGCTCGTTTCAGAATAGTTTGGTTTGCTGCTAATTTTGATATGCTGATTCCTTTCGACTCGCTTGTGGGTGATTTAACACTTGCTGATTTAATGGTTAGTCACAAAGCAAGATCCAAACCGTCTTGTTGGGTTCCTCCTCCAGTTGGTTTTATTAAGATTAATGTTGATGGAGCGATGGTGAAGGGGTGGAACAAAGGAGGTATAGGAGGTCTGATTAGGGACAGCAGTGGTAGGTTGATTCATTGGTTTTTTGAAAAGGTTGGGGGTGGTCCTCCGATTATGGCGGAACTTTTGGCGATTAAGAGAGGGTTGTGTTTGCTTATTGATTCAGGTGAGGTTCTTAATTAGAGGATTATTTTAGAATCGGACTCTACTAACGCGCTGAAGTGGATTAAAAATCCGGAATTAAGCACCCCTTTATTCCAATCATTGGTGAAGGAGATCGTCTCTATTATGGAAGGGAAGGATATTATGTTAAGGCTAATCTTGAGGGCTGCCAATTGGGAAGCGGACAGTTTATATGAAATAATAATCCAACCTTAAAATCAATAATTAATCAACAAACAAAGAAACTCACCTTTGAGTCAAGCCTTCACGTATGAAGAAGGAAGAAGGAAGAAGAGAAGAGGAGAGAACTCTGGAACCTTTTCTCTCTTCCCACGTGATTTCCTTATCTTATAAGGAAAATAAAAATCTTCCTTGTCTAATGACCCTTTTGCCCTTCAATTCATCTTATAATTACTAACAACTTTTATGATTTATTTCCAAATAAATCATTGAACTAATCCATGGTTCTACTCTAGTCACCAAATTCTGAAACTTTACAATTTGATCACTAACCCGGTATTGAGGATGTTACAATGATCACACCATGACATGTCCTTCCTTTGTTTGGTACCCTGAGAGGAGGAGGTGTGAGTGTACTAGGCTGAACCTTCAGCCACTACTGAACCGATGAGTTCTGTTATTATCAGCTGCTTCCTACTTTCTTCTATTCTCACTTCAGCAAAGACCTCTCGGATGGAAGGCAAAGGATTGGTGCCCAAGATTTTGCCTCTTACCTCATCCAACTCTTTGTTGAGACCAGGAAACTGGAATGTCCTTTTTTGAGCAATAATTTTCGTATATAATGCTGCATCATCAGAACACGTCCACGGATTAGTGTTAAACAAATCAAGTTGCTGCCAGTACCTTGTGATGGTGTTGTAATACCGAGTGCTAGTCAGCTCCCTTCTCTATGTCAAAGAGTTCAGAGATGTTAAGTTGGAGTAGGTCTCCTTTGCTGCCTCCCATATCTCCTTTGCGGTTTTGTAGAGGAGGAAATTCTCTCCAATTTCCGTGCTCATGAAATTTATGAGCCATGACACCACCATATGGTTCTTAATTTTCCACCTAAGATCTTAAGAGTTAAGAGAAAAGAATATTCTCTTGATCGTATATTATGCTAAAAGCCTAAAACAGAAGAACACAACCTGTTTTAGTAGGTTGTGAGTTACAATTTAGAGTCCTACTATGTTTCTCTTCTTCCTAAACTCTTATCTCCTAAAACTTATCTCCTAAGAAGATACATGCTAATCATAAATACAGATAAAATTACAAATAAAATTAGACTTCTAAGATAAAATATACTCCTAATATCAACAGCTTTCTACAGTTGTGGTCTATTTGAATGCAGGACTTTATAGGACTGAAGGATTTAAACCTTCATTATCTCTCTTTGGCTACTTCCTTTCTGAATCTTCTGTGCATGATTTTAGAATTTCAGTATGTAATGCTTGCATGCCATTCTCTTATTGCATACTTACTATTTTTTAGACACACCTTGTTGAATAAATTCTATTAAATACTCTGGAGGATTTCTTGATTGTGATATCTTAGATGGAAGCTTGATTCATTTGTTCCTGTGGTCTGCACTTGAAATGAGAGAAATAGTAAAGTTTTATTAGATGTGGGTGGCCTGTGAGAGATTGAAATATTTATTTTGAGGAGCCTTTAAACTTAGGTCTGGTGTATATGCTTTTAAGCATTCGAGACACTAGTTAAGGCATGCCATTTGAAGCCTAAGTTTTACTTTTAATTCACAATGTAAATCACTTGTGCTCACCAAGAAATCCCACTTTTAACCGTTAAGTATTATTTTTTCTTTCCACAATCTTATTGGTTGAAGTATCTATTTGGACTCGTATTTCCTTTTGCCTTGTCATGCCTTGTCATTGATCAAATATTTCCTACATTTGTTTTATATGTTGTTCATTTGTGCAGATTAAAGTTCTTCTAATGGCTGTGAAAGGTTTTAATCCAGATTGTGGGGACCCTGCCTATACTGTTGGGATTGTGGACTTGTTACTTGAATGTGTAGAATTGTCCTATAGACCAGGTAATTGGTTCATAATTTCCCCTTGCTGAGTTATAAATTTTGCAAAAGGACAATGATCAGTGATGGATTTTGTTAATCTATCTCAAGTTCTGTGGTCTTGACTGTTGAGTTAGTTGTAAACTGTTTTTTGTTCGATGATTCATTATTTTCCTTGTCTTGTTTTATTGATGATATCTTCCAACTTTGACTTGTAGAGGCTAGTGGTATTAGGCTCAGGGAAGATATACATAACGCCCATGGTTACCAGTTCTTTGTTCAATTTGTGCTAGTTCTGTCCTCAATGCCTCAGAATCAAGGCATTCAATCTATTTATTTGGAGCACAAGGCTGACAAAGATAGTGATCCAGATGGCGCTCAAGCTTTTGATGATGGACGGAAAAAGGATTTCAGAGGAAAAGAAGACCTATCTTCTGAACATCTATCTCCCACTTTGTGTAGGCTACTTGATGTTCTTGTTAACCTAGCTCTAACAGGTCCAGCTGAAAATGATTTCAAATATTCTCAAACCAAGTCCAATGTCCATAGCAGAAGTCGAAATGATGAAACTTGGGAACTGGGAAATAATAAAGTTAAAGATCTTGAAGCTATCCAGATGTTGCAGGACATTTTTCTCAAGGCAGACAGCAGGGATCTGCAAGCAGAAGTGTTAAACAGAATGTTCAAAATATTTTCAAGTCATCTTGAAAACTATATGTTGTGCCAGCAACTGAGGACTGTTCCTCTCTTGATCTTAAATATGGCTGGATTGCCTTCTTCTTTGCAAGAGATAATCTTGAAAATTCTTGAATATGCTGTGACTGTGGTGAATAGTGTTCCTGAGCAAGAACTACTGTCTCTATGTTGCTTATTACAGCAACCAATTACATCGGAATTAAAGCTCAAAATCCTTTCTTTTTTTGTAAAGCTCCTGTCCTTCGATCAACAATACAAGAAAGCACTACGAGAAGTAGGCGTGTTGGAATTCCTGTTAGATGACTTGGATCACCATAAGCTGCTTTTGGGTCCAGACCGACATGGTAACGACGACCAGTTGGAGAGGAAATCCAGCTCCAGCACCTTCAAGAAACAGTTGGGCGACAAGGGTATCATTGTTAATTCACCCATGCTCACGGAATCTGATTCAGAGAAATTTCCTATTTTTGAAGTTGAGAGTACAGTTACCGTTGCCTGGGATTGCATGGTTTCATTACTAAAGAAAACCGAAGCCAACCAAGCTTCATTCCGATCCTCAAATGGTGTGACCATTATTCTTCCCTTCTTGGTCTCAAAAATTCATCGTCCCGGGGTCCTCCGGACATTGTCATGTTTGATCACTGAAGATACTTTGCAGGTTCGTTAAGATGTGTGTTCTTTTATCGGTTTAAATTATGATATATCTCACATTCAATAATATTTTTCTTCTCTCCTTTTTACATTTTACAGTTCACTCATGCATGAGTGAACTGCATACATGAAGCTGTTATTTTGCTTTTTTCCACTCAAAATTGGATACTCATTTTTATCCAGGATCATCCTGAAGAATTAGGAGCACTTGTTGAAGTTTTGAAGAGTGGAATGGTTACAAGTGTTTCAGGATGCCCATATAAGCTTCAAAGTGATGCAAAATGTGATGTGATGGGAGCCTTGTGGTGCATTCTGGGAGTAAATAATTCAGCTCAGAGAGTGTTTGGTGAAGCCACTGCATTTTCTCTTCTGCTGACCACCCTCAATAGTTTTCAGGGTGATGGACTCTCAGAAGAATCTTCTTTATTAGTTTACATCAAACTGGTCACGTATTTATTGCGCCTTATGACTGCTGGGGTGTGTGGTAATGCCGCAAATAGGACAAAATTGCATGCTGTTATATCGTCACAAACATTTTATGATCTTCTATCTGAATCTGGCTTGCTGTGTGTGGATTATGAGAAGCAAGTGATACAACTGTTGTTGGAACTTGCTCTTGAAATTGTTCTTCCACCTTTCATGACACCAGAGGGTGTCATGTCTGCAGATGTGGCCGAAAATGAGTCCACTGGTTTTCTTTTGGCCACTCCATCTGGTTTGGCTAATCTTGATAAGGAACGAGTATACAATGCTGGTGCTGTTAAAGTTCTGATTCGATCACTCCCACTTTTAACTTCTAAGGTCCAATTACAAGTGCTGGACGTTATTGGGAAGCTTGCTCGTTCTGGTCCCTTCAATCAGGAAAATCTCACTTCTGCCGGTGAGATAAAATCTTTTATTAGCCTTTGTCCTTTCCATTTTAGACATTTATTTTACTAATTGCTTTTACAATATATTTAGGTTGTGTTGAACTTCTACTGGAGATGATTCACCCCTTTCTTTTTGGCTCATCACTGCTACTCTCTTATGCTTTGAAGATTGTAGAGGTTCTGGGGGCATATAGGTAGGCCTTGCAGCCATCTCTAGGAATGACCATATTTCCTCAATTAATTTGAATTTTCCTCGTCTATTTTTTTATGAAGTTTGTGTTTTTTATGTCAGGTTGTCGACATCTGAACTCAGAGTGCTTGTGAGATATATTCTGCAGATGAGGCTGATGAAATCTGGTCATATAATTTGTTGATATGATGGAGAGATTAATTCTCATGGAAGGTATGGCCTTAGAAAATGTTTCTTTAGCTCCATTTGTTGAGATGGACATGAGCAAGATTGGGCATGCTTCCGTTAAGGTGTCTCTTGGAGAAAGATCTTGGCCTCCTGCTGCTGGTTATTCATTTGTTTGTTGGTTTCAGTTTCAAAATTTTTTGAGAAAACATGCAAAAGAAACTGATCCTGCCAAAGGTGGTTCTTCAAAGAGGAAAAGTGGCTCAAACGCGCAACATCATAATCAACATATTCTCCAAATATTTTCTGTTGGTTCATTAAATGATGAGAATACTCTGTATACGGAACTTTATCTTCAAGAGGATGGTATTCTTACCCTTGCGACCAGTAACTCTTGCTCCTTGTCATTTTCTGGATTAGAACTGGAAGAAGGCCGTTGGCATCACCTTGCTGTTGTTCATAGCAAACCAAATGCTCTTGCTGGACTATTCCAAGCTAGTATTGCTTATGTTTATCTTGATGGGAAACTAAGGCATACAGGAAAATTAGGATATTCTCCCTCCCCCATAGGAAAACCTTTGCTGGCAACTATTGGAACTATGGTTACATGTTCCAGGGTTAGTGACTTGACATGGAGACTCCGCTCTTGCTATCTTTTTGATGAAGTGCTCATGCCAGGTGCTATTTGTTTCATGTACATCCTCGGTAGATCATATAGAGGGCTTTTCCATGATGCAGACCTTCTCCGTTTTGTCCCCAACCAGGCTTGTGGTGGTGGTAGCATGGCTATTTTAGATTCATTAGATACTGACTTGTCTTTACCTCTTGGCACACAGAAGCATGACAGTACAAGCAAGCGGGGAGACTCGAAGGCAGATGGAAGTGGAATTGTTTGGAATATGGACAGATTACGAAACCTTTCATTTCAGCTATATGGTAAAAAATTCATATTTGCATTTGATGGAACATATACGGAGGTTGTTCAAACATCTGGGGCATCTTTCATTGTCAATTTGGTTGATCCCCAATCAACTGCTGCTTCTCCCATTGGGGGTGAATATTCTCTTTTATGTGTAATTATCAAGAAAAATTCATCTTAGCTAAATTGCTCATTCTTTTGTTATCTATCCAGGTATACCACGGTATGGGCGTCTTCATGGGGATATCCATGTTTGTAGGCAATGTGTAATTGGTGATACAATCCGCCCTATTGGTGGGATGGCTGTCATTTTGGCCCTCGTTCAGGCTGCTGAGACCAGGGATATGCTCCATATGGCCCTCTCATTTCTCGCCTGTGCACTTCATCACAATCCTCAAAATATAAGAGACATGCAAACATACAGGGGATACCATTTGCTTGCTCTATTCTTGCACCAAAGGATGTCGTTATTTGATGTGCAGTGTCTAGAGACATTTTTCCAGATTGCTGCATGTGAAGCTTCATTTTCTAAACCAAAAAAATTGGAACTTGGTCAAACTTTGACTTCACCTACTGCAACTATTCATGAAACTAGCTTCGAGGATCTTAATTTCTCAAAGTTCCATGATGAAACATCTTCAGTTGGATCTCTTGTTGAGATGGATTATTTTACTGCCCCCAAGGATTCAGTCAGTCATATTTCAGAGCTAGAAAATCCTGATATCCCCGTAGAAACTTCAAACTGCATTGTCTTGTCAAATGCAGATATGGTAGAACATATTTTACTGGACTGGACACTGTGGGTAACTGCCCCGGTTTCCGTTCAAATTGTACTGTTAAATTTCCTAGAGCATCTTGTTTCTATGCATTGGTACAGGAACCACAACCTTACAGTTCTTCGCCGAATCAACCTTATTCAACATTTACTGGCGACATTGCAACGTGGTGATGTTGAAGTTCCTGTTTTGGAAAAAATAGTTGCATTGCTTGGGATCATTTTGGAAGACGGTTTCCTGCCATCTGATCTAGAAAATGTTGTAAAGTTTGTTATTATGACATTTGATCCACCTGAGCTGAAACCGCAGCATCGAATAATGCGCGAGTCCATGGGAAAGCATGTCATTGTTAGGAATATGCTTTTGGAGATGCTTATTGATCTTCAAGTAACTATCAAATCAGAAGAGCTGCTTGAACAGTGGCATAGAACTGTCTCTTCTAAAATAATAACATATTTTCTTGATGAAGCTGTTCATCCTACAAGTATGAGATGAATTATGACTCTTCTTGGTGTGTGTATGGCTTCTTCTCCCACTTTTGCTCTTAAATTTCGTGCAAATGGAGGTTATCAAGGTCTGACGCATGTACTTCCTAGTGTATATGATTCTCCTGATATATATTATATCTTGTTCTGCCTTGTATTTGGGAAGCCTGTTTATCCGAGATTGCCAGAAGTTCGTATGCTGGACTTTCATGCGCTAATGCCAAGTGATGTAGGCCATGTGGAGTTGAAATTTGTAGAAGTATTGGATTCTATAATTACTATGGCAAAATCAACCTTTGATAGACTGAGCTTGCAGTTAATACTTGCCAGGCAAACTGGAAATCTTTCCCAACTTGTTGCAGAACTGGTAGAGGAAAATGCAGACACGGCTGAGGAGCTACAAGGTGAAGCTCTCATGCATAAGACATATGCGGCACGTTTAATGGCTGGTGAGGCATCTGCTCCAGCTACTGCTACCTCGGTTCTGAGATTCTTGGTTGATTTGGCAAAGATGTGCACTACCTTCTCCGCTGTTTGTAGGCGAGCAGAATTTCTAGAAAGCTGTGTTGACCTCTATTTTTCTTGTATTAGGTTTGTCAATGGATGCATTCTTCATTTATGCCTAGATTATTTGTTTTGCAGTAATGACACCTCTAATATTTATGCAACGTTTCATATGGATATAATGCTAAATTTGACTCACAGGTAATCTTATTGCTGTTTGTATTTTGTCATGCAGGTCTGCGCACACAGTGAAGATGGCAAGAGATCTTTCTGCAATGACAGAAGAGAAGATTTTGAATGCTTGTGATGATGCTATTTCACAAAACACATTCTCTAGCTTTGTTGCAGAGCAGGAACAGTCTGCAAAGACTTCTATTAGTGCTGGAAGCTGCCCTCAAGCACAGGTCAGTTCAAGCTCCAAAGAAATGCCAGTCTCTTCAAATATCACGGCTGAAGATAAAGAAGAGATGAAGCCTAGTAAATCCCAGAAGGAACTGGACAAATCAGACCAGGAAGATATCCATGTTATTCAGGGTCTAGAAGGTGATAGTGTGGATCAGGTTTCTGCTGCTTCAGACACAAATGAGTTCAGCTTCCATAGCATCAAAGGCAGTCTGGCAACTCAACCATCAGATTCCCAGGGTTCTCTATCTCTGGTTATTCCAGATTCTCCTATTTTTTCTGAGAAATCCAATTCCAAAGTTTCCTTCACGCCCTCATCTCCTGTTATTTCAGTGACTTCGTCGTCAAGTGCAAACCACAGTGAATGCAAAAGTCCAATAATTGTGACACCTTCCATGGACTCTTCTCTGTCTTATAGTGCGTCTGATCAATCCTCAGACTTGAAGTCTGGTTCAGGGCCTACAGCTGCAAATATGACTTTTTCTGTTAGTCCAAAGCTGCTTCTTGAAGTAAATGATTCTGGTTACAGTGGTGGCCCGTGTTCTGCTGGGGCAACTGCTATGTTGGATTTTATGGCTGAAGTACTAGCTGACTCTTTGACGGAGCAAATCAAAGCAGCACAAACTGTGGAGAGCATCTTGGAAATGGTTCCACTATTTGTTGAAGCTGAATCTGTGTTGGTTTTCCAAGGTTTATTTCTCAGCAGACTAATGAATTTCTTTGAAAGACGTCTCTTGCGTGATGATGAAGAAGATGAGAAAAAGCTAGATAAGACCAAATGGTCTTCAAACTTAGATGCTTTATGCTGGATGATTGTTGACCGTGTTTACATGGGTGCTTTCCCAGAACCAGCAAGTGTACTGAAAACTCTAGAGTTCTTATTATCAATGTTGCAATTAGCAAACAAAGATGGTCGAATTGAAGCAGCAGCTCCTGGAAAGGGTCTTTTGTCTATTACAAGAGGGATCAGACAACTTGATGCTTATGTACAATCAATTCTGAAGAATACTAATAGGATGATACTCTACTGCTTCCTACCATCATTTCTGATCACCATAGGAGAAGATGATCTTCTTTCCTCCTTGGGTCTACTTAGGGAATCCAAGAAAAGATCACCCACAAGCTCTTCACAAGAAGATTCAGGGATTGATATTTGCTCGTTTATGCAGTTATTAGTTGCTCATCGACGAGTGATATTCTGTCCAAGCAATCTTGATCCTGAACTAAATTCCTGTCTTTGTATAAATTTAATTTCTCTTCTTCGTGACCAAAGGGAAAAATGTACAGAACATGGCAATCGATTTGGTTAAGTATTTACTGGTTCATCGAAAAGCTTCACTGAGAGACTTGCTTGTCTGTAAACCTAATCAGGGACAACATTTAGATGTACTGCACGGTGGTTTTGACAAGTTGTTGACTGAAAGTTTACCTGCTTTCTTTGACTGGTTTCAGAGCTCTGAACATATTGTAAATAAAGTACTAGAGCAATGTGCGGGAATATTGTGGGTGCAGCATATTGCTGTCTCAGCAAAATTTCCTGGGATAAGAATTAAAGGCATTGAGGGTCGTCGTAAGAGGGAAATGGGAAGAAGATCGAGAGAAGCTTCAAAGATGGACCTAAAACACCAGGAACAAGTGAATGAAAGGAGATATGCATTGGAAGTGGTTCGTGATACAATGTCTGCTGAACTGAGAGTTCTCCATCAGGAGAAGTATGGATGGGTTCTCCATGCTGAAAGTGAATGGCATATCCATCTCCAACAACTTGTTCATGAACGGGGAATACTCCCAATCCATAAAACTGCTGTGCCTGAATATCCTGAGTGGCAACTTTGCCCCATTGAGGGTCCATATAGGATGCGCAAAAAGCTTGAGCGCTGTAAATTTAGATTCAGTAGTATCCAAAATGTTCTTGACGGGCAGTTGGAATTAGGTGAGGAGGAGCTCTCCAAAGTCAAAAATGAGGATGGTCCAGATCATTCTGATTCTGAAGCAATATTTGATCCTTTGGATGATAGTGATAAGCAGAATGGTGTTGACACTGAGGTATATGATGAATCATTGTACGAAGTGGCAGGTGATGTGAAGCATATAAGTTCTGTTAGAAATTATGAGAATGATGACATAGCTAGCAGTGTAAATGAAGCTAGTCTTCACTCTGCCCTTGAATTTGGTGGGAAATCTAGTGCTGTCTCCGTCCCCCTATCAGAAAGCATACCCGGGAAATCTGATTATGGATCTCCTAGGCAGCCTGTTAAAATTGGAGTCAAAGCTATAGAGGATAAATTAGATAAAGAATTACATGATGATGGTGAATATTTAGTCAGACCTTATCTAGAACCTCGTGAAAAGATACGATTCAGATATAACTGTGAGCGAGTAGTAGGTCTCGATAAACATGATGGTATATTTCTTATAGGGGAACTTTGTTTGTATGTGATAGAGAACTTTTACATTGACGGTTCTGCCTGCATATGTGAGAAGGAATTTGAAGATGATCTCTCCATTATTGATCAGGCATTAGGTGTAATGAAGGACGGTATGACTTTCCAATCAAAACCAACTTCATCCTGGGCCACACCACCAAAGACATTGGTAGGGGGAAGGGCCTGGGCCTACAATGGTGGTGCATGGGGAAAGGAGAAAGTGAGTAGTAGTGGTAATTTACCTCATCCTTGGCGTATGTGGAAGCTTGATAATGTTCATGAGCTTCTGAAGCGAGATTACCAGCTACGTCCTGTTGCTGTTGAGTTATTCAGCATGGATGGATGTAATGATCTCCTCGTGTTTCACAAGAGAGAGAGAGATGAAGTATTAAAAAATCTGGTTGCAATGAATCTACCTAGGAACAGCATGTACGTAACTTCCAAGACATTTATTCTCTTTTTCCCTCTAATTCTGCTTTTATGGTGGCTTTATCGTGTGCATTAATTGCTTCCCGAAAATGGGTTGTGATATCATAGTACTGAAGAAGACATATGTACATGTCTTTCTCTATACTCAAAGTTTTTTTGCTGTTTACCATTACTTAATCATTTACCTTTTTCCGTTTTTTTTCCTTGTTATTCTTGCTGTGTTTATGCTCCAATTTTGAATTTTGGAAAAGATTGTTAACTCTGTGATTTTTTCCTTTATACAGGTTGGACACAACCATTTCAGGATCTACAAAACAGGAAAGCAATGAAGGCAGTGGTTTTTTTAAAATAATGGCTAATTCTTTCTCAAAGAGATGGCAAAATGGAGAAATCACCAATTTTCAGTACCTCATGCATCTCAATACCTTGGCAGGACGCGGATACAGTGATCTTACCCAATACCCAGTCTTTCCATGGGTTCTTGCTGATTATGAGAGTGAAAAGCTGGACCTGTCAGATCCAAAAACCTTTCGCAAATTTGACAAACCAATGGGCTGTCAGACACTAGAAGGGGAACAAGAATTTATGAAAAGGTCAATCTTCGTATTTATTATAAATCTTTTTAATTAAAAGGAAAATTGTATCATAAATGTATGTATATCTTTGTCACGCATGTAGTGTGTGCCACTTAGATGAATAATTATACTAGAAATGTTTGCTGTTTATGTATTCATCATATATATGAGGCATATTTTATTTAACATGGTCTTTTAAATGAATGTATTAATTTGTATGCCTATGTTACTGCTAAACATTCCAGTTTCTTATTTTTCAGATACGAGGGCTGGGATGATCCAGAGGTCCCAAAATTTCATTACGGTTCTCATTATTCTAGCGCTGGCATTGTTCTCTATTTTCTTCTTCGCTTGCCACCATTTAGTGCAGAAAATCAGAAGCTACAGGGTGGCCAGTTCGATCATGCTGACCGGCTTTTCAATAGCATAAGAGATACATGGTTGAGCGCTTCCGGGAAGGGTAACACATCAGATGTGAAAGAATTAATTCCAGAATTCTTCTATATGCCTGAGTTTTTGGAAAATCGTTTTAGTTTTGACTTGGGGGAGAAACAGTCTGGTGAAAAGGTCCATCTTGATCAATAGTTTAAGTTTGAGATGTGTTATACGATCTTTAGTATCATGTTCGACAATATCCCAAAGTATTTATTTTTTAAGACACGGAATTCTCATTTCTGGTGTGTCTGTTCTTCGCAGGTTGGTGATGTTCGCCTACCTCCTTGGGCTAAAGGTAGTGCTATGGAGTTCATCCGGAGGCATAGAGAAGCCTTGGAATCCGATTTTGTCTCAGAAAATCTGCACCATTGGATAGACCTCATTTTTGGATATAAACAAAGGGGAAAGGTTGGTATTGGCATTCTCTGTGAAGCATATTTTGACCTCTCTTATCTCCTGCATTTTCTAATAATTGCTACTCATCCTAAGACTCGCACTCACATTCTTGAGAAATATAACAAAATTTCTTAAGTTTTCAGTGGTATGATTTTTCCGCTAATTTAATATGCTATAATTCTTTCTGGATGAGTTGCCATTGCAGGTAGCAACCTGTTTCCTTTTTATTCGCTTTGTTTTTTATTTGAAGAAAGAAAGGTCTTTATTTTGATCCTAATGCGCTCCTTTTATGTCCCTCCTTTGTTTTCTTAGTTGATTTCACGTACTTCGCCCTATATAGTTGATCCGAAGTTCATGTCACTCCTAGAATATATCTTCTTATTCTTCTGCTTGTAATTCTCTATAAATTGTTACAATTGACAGGCGGCTGAACAAGCTGTCAATGTTTTCTACCACTACACATATGAGGGAAGTGTTGATATCGACGCAATTACAGATCCTTTAATGAAGGCTTCCATTCTAGCTCAGATTAACCATTTCGGACAGACACCTAAACAATTATTTCAAAAACCCCACGTGAAAAGGCGGTCTGACAGAAAGGTTCCTCCTCGCCTGCTGAAGCATTCAGCTAATCTTGTTGCACATGCAATACGGAAAAGCTCTTCTTCCATTACTCAGATTGCCACTCTCAATGACAAAATTCTTATTGGTGGGGCAAATACTTTGCTGAAACCTAGAACATTTGCCAAATATGTCGCATGGGGTTTTCCTGACCGCAGCTTGAGATTTATGACCTATGACCAAGATCGACTCCTTTCGGTACATGAGAATCTTCATTGGGGGAACCAGATTCAGTGTGCTGGTGTTAGCCATGATGGTCAGATTTTGGTCACTGGCGCTGATGACGGTGCGGTTTCTGTTTGGAGAATCAGTACGGAGGGTCCACGTGCCTTGATACGGTTAAAGTTGGCGAATGTGCTTTGTGCTCACACGGCCAAAATCACTCGCCTTCATGTCAGTCAGCCTTATATGCTGATTGTGAGTGGATCGGATGATTGCACTGTTATAATATGGGACCTTAGCTCTTTCGGATTCATCAGGCAGCTTCCCAAGTTCCCAGCACCTGTTTCTGCAGTCCAAGTGAATGATTTAACTGGGGAAATTTTGACAGCTTCTGGAATTCTGTTTGCTGTTTGGAGCATCAATGGAGACTGTCTAGCAGTAATTAACACATCGCAGCTGCCATCCGACACTATACACTGTTTGACGAGCTGCACCTTCTCAGATTGGCTGGATACAAACTGGTATGTAACTGGCCACCAGAGTGGGGCCATTAAGGTATGGCACATGATTCACTACACCGAAGAAGTGCGCACCTTAAGCAAATACACTAGCAGAGGAGCAGGAGTGTTGCATTTGTCTAAGTTACCAGAATACAGGTTGGTGCTTCACAAGGTGCTGAAGTTTCACGCACATCCGGTTACTGCCCTTCACATAACTGCCGACATGAAGCAGTTGCTGAGCGGTGATTCCGCTGGAAATTTGCTGTCTTGGACATTACCAGTGTCAACCTGAAATATTTTAATCTGGGGTGATACCGTTAGAACAACCATAATGTGATTTTCGAAAAGGAAAACCAAGACAACAGAGCTGGCCAGGTAATTTTTTTAAGAGGAAGAGGATGGGAAACTCCTTCCAATCTTCCATATAAATGTTGAAAGTTACAAGCGTATGTCCAGCGGCTTTAGCTCTCCATCGTCAAAGGTGGAAAATTACAGGGCCACGGATTTGTTGTAATTTTGACAGTGGAGGATATTGCTTTTGAAAATATCTCTCTACTGTTTTTTTTAATGTAAATAGATTTGGAATTTCCAGTAGTATCTGATGAAATTGTATAGCAAAAACAAAAGTGTTTGGGGATTGCATTGTTTGGTGGAATTGGTCTGGCTATTGCGGAGTAATGCATTGGTGCAAAAATTCTCTTTGCATAGTCCAATTGTGTAATCCTTAAAGAATGTATGAAATTTTGGACCAAGCAAATAAAATTCTTAACTTTTAGTAACACTATATCCGGGTTTAACGGGATGTGACATTAGGTATCTCAAGTAAAGTTAGGATTTGTGATGTTAGGTTTCTTAAGTAAAGTTAGGATTCAAATCTTAACTTTAATATTACAAACTTGGACTACATGTACAAATACATGTAAGAGAATCACTTTTCTTATTTAGATAAATGAAATTCCTACTGAATCACTGTTCGGCAGAACGTAAATGTTACAGGCTTTGACTACATATATATATAAGCTCACAAAGGAGTAAACCTCAAAAAAATCCTTACATAAGAATAGAACAACCATTGGCATTTAGCTAGAGAAACCAAAATCAAATGTAAAGTTAGAGCAAACCCCCCTACACCAAATCCGGGATCCGACGGCTCGAGTACTGTTCCCGGTATCGTTTGCTTAACAACTTCTGGCAGTGTGTGTAAAACTGGCCTGCTCCGACTAAGTTTGGATTTTTGAATTCCAAAGATGGAGTGAATGTGCCTAGATATATGATATGAGTTCGAGAACATGGAAGGGTTAGTATCAGATTGGACTCTCTTGGTATTGTTTGTAATATTACATCGTTGTTAGTGCTGATTCTGAACAGTTTATTTGCTTATTCTTTCAGAGCCTTACTGGATTTGACATCGAATCCCGAGCCTGGGGGGTCGAAGGTTTCCTGCAGGTGATAGCCTGCTTAACGATGTCGAAGAAGGGTGTGCCCGAAACAGGTATGAGCTTCACAAACCAAGCTATCGGCCATGAAAATGCTGCAAGAAAGATACAAACTCCCCATTGCCATAGTGTCAACTTTTCTGTATCTGCAAACTTCTTTAAAAACTCCACCATGATGACCTGAAGAGCTATCGTTACTCCGATGATTCCGAGAAACAATTGGTTCTTTAGTATGCCTTCGAAAACATTCTGTTTCTCCAACTTCCTTGCGTTGAACTCGTTAAAAACTTGGCATAGGACGAAAGTATTGCAAATGAGTGTGTCCTTTACCCTCTCGTGCACATCGAATATCGATTCGCCCCTGAATTGTAAGACCAACAGAATAGCTATCTGGTATACGGATTGAGCTAAGAGGTTCCTCCATATGATATTCGTAATTAGGGGTTTGGTTCGACAGACCGGTGGCTTGTGCATGAGCTCATTAGTCGGCCTATCCGTTGCAAGGGCAAGAGCACCTAAGGTATCCATGATGAGGTTCACCCATAGAAGTTGGACCGCAGTCAAGGGAACCTCACCGGCTGAAACCGCTGCGATGAAATTGATTATGAGAGCAGCGACGTTTACGGTAAGTTGAAACTGAATGAACTTTTGTATGTTATTATACACACATCTGCCCCATCTTAGAACTGTGGCAACTGAGCTGAAATTGTCATCCAGTATGACAATGTCCGAGCTCTCCTTAGCAACCTCGGTGCCTTGAATGCCCATAGAAAGTCCGATATCGGCTTCTTTTAGTGCAGGAGCATCATTAGTGCCATCCCCTGTGACCGCAACCACGTTACCTTTCTGTTTCAAGCATTGTACCATCAATAGCTTGTCAAATGGAGAGGACCTTGCCATCACCTGGGTCTTGTCTACCTTCTCTATTCTCTCATCAAGTGTGTAATCCCGAAACTCGATACCTTCTACGACTTCTCCATCATTAGTGCCATCCCCTGTGACCGCAACCACGTTACCTTTCTGTTCAAGCATTGTACCATCAATAGCTTGTCAAATGGAGAGACTTGCCATCACCTGGGTCTTGTCTACCTTCTCTATTCTCTCATCAAGTGTGTAATCCCGAAACTCGATACCTTCTACGACTTCTCCACTTCCTTCCCGGTAATCCGGTCCTAGAATTCCACATTCTGTAGCTATAGCCTTAGCTGTGAAAACATTGTCCCCGGTAATCATTATGATGCGCACCCCTGCAGATTGACAGGCTTCCACGGCTTTCTTGACCCCTGGACGACAGGGATCCTTTAAACCAACTATCCCAAGCAACGTTAAACCGTCTTCTTTTATTCTTCTATGTGTTTTTCCACTCCGATCATCGTATTCTTCTGCTTCTTCTTTCGAAACTTGCTTATGAGCTAAAGCAATGCACCTAATGTTGAAATGTCAAAGCTTAGAAAATTGGTTCAAGTTTAGGTGCAACAATGTCAAAATTAGGTGCAATAATGTTTAAAAATTAAATAGGTAAATTATAAACTTTAGTCACTAAACTTTAGGGTATTTATAAGATTAGTCCTTAAGTTTCAACTATAAATACCCTAGCTCATTTAGCTTCAAAACCATCCCAAAGCATTCTAGCTTTCTTCTAATACTAGAGAGATTTTAGAGAGTTTCTTGAGAGTTGTTTTCTCCTTTTTTATCAAGAGATAATTATCATTGTTTTCTCCTTGGTAGATGAGAGAAGTTGTAATTCCTATTTTCTCATAGTGAAATTCTTCTACCGTTGCTCGTGGTTTTTACCCTATATTATTCAGTTTTCCACGTAAATTTTGTGTCTCTTTTATCTTCATTTTTATTTTCTCAAATTATCAGTTGCGATTTTGCTCTATCCGATAGTTGTCTTCCGCAACAATTGGTATCAGAGCTAGATTAGAGTGTGTAATATCTGCTTATTGTCTTTGTGGTTGCTACCAAAAGGTGGATCCTTCAACATAAGAAAGTAAGAAGGTATTACTCATTCTTTGAAGGTTTCAGAGAACTATTCACGATAGTGAAATAGTGGGAGCTATCCGTAAAAGAAGCTATGGCAACGAAATTTGATATTGAAAAATTCAATGGGAGAATTTTCTCATTGTGGAAATTGAAGATGAAGGCCATCCTGAGGAAAGACGGGTGTCTAGCATCTATCAGTGAAATGCCGGTAGATTTCACAGATGACAACAAATGGATCGAAATAGACGGGAATTCTATGGCAAACTTTCATCTAGCATTAGCAGATGAAGTATTGTCAAGCATCGAGGAGAAAAAGACAGCTAAGGAGATATGGGATCATCTCACCAAACTGTACGAGGCCACATCGTTGCACAATAAAATTTTTCTTAAGAGAAAATTGTACACTCTCCGTATGCCAGAATCTACTTCAGTGACGGAGCACTTAAATACACTAAACACTTTATTTTCTTAGCTTACATCCTTAAGCTGTAAAATTGGAGAACAAGAACGTGCTGAACTTCTACTTCAAAGTCTACCGGATTCATATGATCAACTCATCATCAACTTGGCAAACAGTAATGTCACCAGTCTAGTCTTCGATGACGTTGCAGCTGCTGTTCTACAAGAAGAAAATCGGAGCAAGAACAAGGAAGACAGACAAGTAAATCTGTAACAAGCAGAAGCGTTGACAACGATGACAACGATGACAACGATGAAAGGGAGATCAACAGAACGTGGCCAAAGCAGCAGTCACAAACATGGTAGATCGAAGTCGAGAAGCAAGAAGAATTTAAAGTGTTACAATTGTGGAAAGAATGGTCACTTGAAGAATGATTGTTGGAGTCTAAATAAAAACTCCAATCCACAAGGCAATACCGCAAACACTTCAGATGATGGAGATGCTCTATGCTGTGAAGCGTCAACCACCGTGGAAGGAAGAAAACGATTTGCAGATATATGGCTCATTGATTCGGGAGCAACATATCACATGACCTTAAGAAGAGAATGGTTTCATCATTATGAACCTGTCTCAGAAGGATCTGTGTATAGTTGCAATGATCATGCCTTAGAGATCGTTGGCGTGGGAACCATCAAATTGAAAATGTATGATGGAACAATTAAAGTTGTTCGAGATGTGCGGCACGTGAAAGGTCTGAAGAAAAATTTATTATCCTACTGATTGTTGGATAATAATGCTAACAAGATTGAAACACGGAAATGAATCATGAAGGTGTTCCGTGGAGCGTTTGTAGTGCTGAAAGGTGAAAAGATAGCTGCAAACTTGTACATGCTGAAGGGATAGACATTGCTAGAAGCAGAAGCCTCTGTTGTCTCATGTAGTTCAGATTCTGCAATGCTATGACATAAGAAACTTGGACACATGTCAGAACAAGGAATGAAAGTCCTTGTGGAGCAAAAGCTACTTCCAGGCTTAACAAAGGCATCATTTACTTTATGTGAGCATTGTATAACAAGTAAGCAGCACCGGTTGAAATTCAACACATCAAATTCTAGAGGCAAAAGTGTTCTAGAACTGGTTCACTCTGACGTGTGGAAAGCACCAGTTACATCCCTAGGCGGAGCAAAATATTTTGTCTAATTTATTGATGACTACTCCAGGAGATGTTGGGTGTACCCTATTAAGAAGAAGTCAGACGTGTTTTCAACTTTCAAAAACTTCAAAGCGCGGGTGGAACTTGATTCTGGAAATAAGATCAAGTGTTTCAGAACAGATAATGGAGGAGAATACACAAGCGAAGAATTTGATGACTTTTGCAAGGAAGAAGGCATCAAAAGACAGTTCACAGTGGCGAACACTCCTCAACAAAATGGAGTGGCAGAGCGGATGAACAGAACCTTGTTAGAAAGAACAAGAGCAATGTTGAGGGACGCAGGCCTAGAAAAATCATTCTGGGCAGAAGCAGTCAATACCGCCTGCTATTTGGTGAATCGAGCTCCATCAACTGCAATAGAGCTGAAGACACCAATGGAGATGGACTGGTAAACCAATTGATTATTCAAACCTCCATATTGGAAGTATTGTGTACGTGATGTACAACGCCCAAGAAATTTCAAAGCTGGATCCAAAATCCAGGAAATGCAAATTCTTGGGGTATGCTGATGGAGTAAAGGGGTATCGCTTGTGGGATCTCACTTCCCGCAAAGTGATCATTAGCAGTGATGTTATCTTTGTAGAAGATAAACTACAAAAAAGAAGACGATGATAGCGCTGAAAAGTCAGAGACTACTCAGATACATGTGGAAAAAGAGTTTGAAGAAGGAGATTCTTCTGAAGCAGAACCAGCACATGATGAACAAGAACCA